CTTCCTTCCCCAAAGAGTCTGTGATCCTAATTCTGCTCTGTATGTGTATGTGGTGTGTGTGTGTGTGTGTGTGTGTGTGTGTGTGTGTGTGTGTGTTGTATGGAAATGGGTATGGGCGGGGAAAAAAAAGGAAGATAACATTTGAAATATCAATTCTGACAAAACATAGATTCTACGTTTCTGTTTTTCAATTTTTTGACATAAGGTTTCACTATGTAGTCCAGGATGGCCTTAAATTCAATATGATGCAGGCTGTTCTTAAACTCCTGCCTTAGCCTCCCAGGTGTTAGGATTATGGGCGTGTGCTATTATGCATGGCTAAAAATTCTGTTTTCTGTGAGTCTCAGATGCCCCAGCTCCATTTAGCTTGATATTATTGGTGACTTTTCCTGTTCACACTCTCCTAAGTGACTATGTATTGAGCCCATGGCATAGGCAGCAACTGGCAGAGGTCAACAAATGCCTTTTGTTGGGTCCACACAATTTTTTTAAAAGTGAGAATTAGTTGCCATCATTTACAAAGTGAGAAATTTTATATACAACCCTAGGCCTCTGGTTTCTCTTAAAAAAGGCACCAGGAAACCAGGGCCCACACTTTGGTAGGAGCTGAATAGTACACTTTCATGCAGACAAGGAGCTATCAGGTCACCCTGTCCCTGATGCTTCCTATTGTCTTTGCTTGTGGATATTCTTTTGTCTGACTCTGTAGGCATTTAAGTTTGTATTGAAGGTCCCAGGGTACCTCCTGAGGAGTAGCAGCACTGGGCTGCCTTTGCTCCTGGACTGAGTTCAGAACCCTGGAGATTTGGGGGCCTGGTTCTAGTTCAGCAACTGAAGTTTGCTAAAAAGAAAAATTATTCCTTTTGAGTGTGATATTCCAGCTTGCTAGAAAGAGCCTGAGCTTCCATGCAGGAGTCAAAACCAAAAGCCACACTGCTTCCAGAGGATTCTGGGCCAAGTGAAGAGCAGACAGCTGTTCCTCAAACAAATGGTTCTTCTCCTATTGGTGTTCCTTCAGCCTCTATTTTCTTATGTCCCACAGCCACCCAAACAAGGTACCCAGGCACAAAATGTTTGCATTATTTGATTTTGTTTTCTCTAGTGTGAGTGCTTCAATAAAGCTGAGCACTGAGCCATGCAAAATTTGACCACCTGCAGTCTTTGTAGCAATGTCAGACATGGGGGGCAACAAGGGAACACAGCACAGGTGGAAAGAAGTAGCATTCTAACACTCTTTCATAGCTACTTAATGTAAGACTGGTTAGCCTTTTCTCCAGCATAGATGATGCCAAGAAAAGGTGAGATCAGATTACTCTTTAAAAACCTGGGAATCAGTACATCATCTCGGGGAACCAGGAAACTTATCCAAAAAGTAGGGGGGAACTGAAATCCTGCAAACATTTTCTGTACCCTTATACACTAGGAACACTCAAGCACCAACTCAACCATCACAAAAAATTCCTTAAGGTGGAAATCACTGTCATGATAAAATTTTTTTTCCCCATACTGAGGGTTGAATCCAGGGCATTATGCATGCTAGGCACTGAGTTACATCTTTAGACCTTTTTATTTTTTATTTTCAGAGTCTTGGTAAGGTGCCTAAGCTGGGCTTGAATTTATGAACCTTCTACTTTAGCCTCCCAAGTAGCTGGGATTACAGGTGTGCACCACAGCACTCAGCTTCACTGCCTTGATTTTAAAAAATGGAGGATGACAAAAGAAATTTGCCCACGGTGATTTAAGTAGTCACCAGGATACAAACTCCAGTGTCACTCAGAATGTCTCTGCTCACAGATACTCCTATTATGGTCCCACACTCCCTATTATGGCCCCACAGCTGCATTTCATTTTTCTTTTGTCTTTTCTTGCTTGCTTACATTCTTGTTTTTTTTGTTTGTTTGTTTTGTTTTGTTTTTTTTTGGTATTGGGGATTGGACATTAGCCTTTGCACTGAGCTACAGCACCAGTCTTTTTCTTTATTTTTGGTTTTCTGAGACAAGGTCTTGCTATGTAGTTCATGCCGGCCTCGGACGTGTGGAGATCCTCCTCCCTCAGCCTCCTAAAGTGATGGGATTACAGGACTATGCCACCATACTTGGCTTCATCCATGGCCTTTTAAAATTAGTTTGATACAAAGCCTTATTATATAGTTTAGGTTAGCCTTGAACTCACAGTAAAATGCTCCTGCCTCAGCCTCCCCAGTGTTGGGGCTATAGGTGTTCTAACACTTTCACAGTTACTTTAAAGCCTGGCCTTTTTAAATTTAAAAAGAAATTTATTTTGAGACAAGGTCTTGCTAAATTTCTAACCTACCCAGGCTGGGTTCCATACTGCAATTATCCTACAGTTTTCTGAGTAGCTGGGATTACAGGCAAGTGCCAGAATGCTGGCTTCCTTTATACTTCTTATCACTACCTTTTTTTTTTGTCTTTTTGAGAGAGGGTGTTGCTGTACAATTCAAGCTGGCTTTGACCTAATTTTCTAGTTCAGGCTGGTTTCAAACTTGCAACAATCCTTTTGCCTCAACCTTCCAAGTGTTGGGATTACTTCCCACATCTGGCTACTATCTATTGTTATATATCTATCTGTGCAATGGTTTTCTTTCTGTCACCCTCAACAGAATTTAAGTCACTGGGGCACAGACTTTGTCCATTGAGTTATGCCATCTTCCTGCATGGAAAACTGTATTTCAAGCCCTTAGTGAATGTTGTTGGAGTTATAGGAAGAATAATAATGTCCACGTTGCTGTCAAAAAAGCATACTCATAACTCATACTTGGGAGGCTGAGGCAGGAGGATTGCCATGAAGATGTAAAAGGACTGTCAGCCTCAGCAACAAGTTGAAGACCAAAACCTCAAAAAAAAAAAAAAAAAAAAAAAAAGAGCACACTTTCTATGCCAGGTGTGGTAGTCCACACTACGTAGTCTCAGCACTTGAACTGCCTAAGGCAAAATAATCACCTTGAGTCCAAGGCTGGCCTGGGCTACAAATTGATTTTAAGGCCAGCCTGAACTTCCTTTCTAGACCCTCTCTCAAAAACAAACAAACAAACCACGCTGTTATGCTTTGTGTCTGGATGTTCCCACCAAAGCCTCATGCAGTCGTGGGGGGGAGCTTTTTGGAGGCAGCTGGATCTAGTTTATGAGAAGGTTCATTGTCTAGTGCTGGGATTGGTGATGTGAGTGTTATACCCATGGGTAGTCTGCATATAAGGGTCCCCTTTCGTTCCTGTTGCTTTTAGCATCTGCCACCACCATGAACTGTTGCCCCTCTGCCACACCACCCTGCTTTGGCACCAGACGGTTACGGATTGAAACCTCCACGAACTATGAGCTACATAAACCTTTCCCTCTTTAATTCTGGGCACTGGATGTTTTGTCGCAGCAACAAAAGAAAGTTAACCAAGACATATCCCAAAACTACACCTTCTGAATGTGTTCTCAGGTATGCCCTGGGTTTCAGCCTTAGTGTAGAGCACAAGTGTAGAGCCCTACTACTGTATATGGGCATGTGTATGAGCATGCACACACAGTCATGTACAGGAAGAAAATAAAGACAGGAAGAAAGTTAAGTTTATAGAAGGTTAAATTCCTGGAAATTCAAGAAAATTCTGTATTTAGAGATAAGCTTTCTTCTACAAAGGCAAAAAAATTTTCAAATTGAGCAGTGTGTGGTAGGCACACTTATAATTCCAGCACTTTGAAGGTTGAGGCAGGAGGAGGATTGTTGCAAATTTGAGACCAGCGTGAACAACAAAATATGCTCAAGGCCAGCCTGAACAGCATAGCAAGACCTTGTCTCAAAAAGACAAAAAAAAAAAAAAAAAAAAAAAAAAAAAAAAAAAATCCTCAAGTTGAGAAGGAAGCAATGATCCATTACAAATTTTCTTCTTTGTATGGCTAGGAAGCTTTGGCTATACCTCCTGGTCCACATGCATGTTCTTTTGCATCTGGTGAAGCATGTGGAAAGTTAGGATGACCAAAAAACTGTTTAGGATTAACCAGAAAGTAAATACGGCACAGAAAGCACCCCCGTACTACCAACTGTTCACCAAAACTAAGGCAGGGATAATTCAGAGCAGTGGCTTCCAACCCAAATTACCTAAAGCAGGGATTGAACTCATGACCTCATGCTTGCCAGGCTGGCACTTATGCCACTGAGCTACATACCCTCATAAAGCAGTAGTTCTTAAAAGTATACTCCCTGGACCAGCACCATCAGCTTCATTTTTGAACTTGTTAGAAATCCAGATTCTCAGACCCACTCTAGATCTACCAGAAACGTAAATTCCAGGGCTGGGATGCAGGAATATCCCTTAACAAACTATTCAAATTACTGATGTATGCTAAAATTTAAGAATTACAGGAACTGGGGGCTGGGGATTTAGCTCAGCGGCATAAGTGCCTGCCTTGCAAGCAGGTAGTCGTGAGTTCGATCCCTGGTACCGATAAAAACGAAAAAGCCAAAAAAAAAAAAAAAAAAAAAAAGAATTACAGGAACTAAAGTATAGCGATTCTTGGGGCCTGAAGATCCTGATTTAGCAGGTCTAAAAAGGGGCACAAGGTTGGGGCTGGGGATTTAGCTCAGTGGCCTAAGCACCTGCCTTGCAAGCAGGCGGTTGTGAGTTCGATCCCTGGTACTGATAAAAATGAAAAAGACAAAAAATAAATAAATAAATAAAAAGGGGGCACAAGGTGATTTCAAAAGTTTCTGGGTTGATTTGGACTTGCAGTGAGATCTGAGAGCTACTAAACTTTTTTTTTTGTCTTTTTGAAACAGGGTTTCTATGCAGTTCAGGCTGGCCTTGAGCTCACTTTGTAGCCAAGGCTGGTCTTGTACTCACAAAATCCTCCTGCCTCAGCCTCCCCAGTTCTGGGATTACAGGTGTGAGCCACCATGCCTGGCTGAGCTATTAAACTTTAATACTTATTTTTTCTGGTCCCAGGAAAATGTCCTAAATTCTAAATCTACCTCCCATTATCCCTAAGTCATTAACTCACCACACAGAGCAATGATGTGGCTGCTATCTTCATGCACAAATTTCCTGGTGACAGCTTCCTCCATTATTTGCTTTACCTGTGGACAAATGGATAGCATGGTTACTTAACCATATTTAATTTTTTTCTGATCAAAGGACTCAGGAAGGCTGAGGGTGTAGCTCAGTTGTAGAATGTGTACTATTCACGTGTGAGGGCCTAGCCAAAAACCGAAAACCTCCAGGCAGGTGAACAGTCTGGTTCTGCACTGTTGCCTGGGTTTTAGACACTCACAGAGGTCACAAGTTTCAAAGGCAGGGGAGCAAACTTTCTTCAGCACAGCCTGCTGTAAGCCTTTTGGAGAGGAAACCAGGAAAAATGATGTCAAAACCCACCAACTAGTCAGTGCAGAGGTTCTAGGGTAGGAGGCAGTTTGCTCAGACGCACTCAGATGGAGAAGGACTTCTGGACAGAACCATGTCCTTTAGGGACACAGTTTCAGTAGACACTCCTGAAAAACAACCTGTCTCTTTCTCTCCCTCTTCTTAAGATTAGGGCTAGGCTCATCCATGCATTAGGGATACTTACCTCAAGCTCCATCTGGGTTCTAAAACCCTGGTGTTTTGGGTTACTTTCCAGATACAAAAGCTTCCAAATATCTTATAGAGTGAACAGTCACATCTTCCTTAACACTTAAGGGGTCTGGCGACATTGCTCAGTGTACTGCCTAGTATGTGTAAAGCCATGGATTCTAGCTCTTCACAGAAAAAAAAAAAAAAAAAAAGCAAAACCAAAAAACTTAAAAACTAAAAGTTATTTACTATTGTAGTATTTATTTATTTTAGTACTGGAGGTTGAACCTAGGGCCTTCGTGCTGAACTATATTCCCAGCCCTTTTCTGTTTTTTGAAACAGGGTCTCACTAAGTTATTTATGCTTAGTTTGAACTTATGATCTTTCAACTTCAGCTCCCCAGATTGTTGGGATTATAGGCATTTGCTACCATGCCTGGCTTACTTACTGTTTATTTTTACTATTCTATAAACATACAGGAAAGTTTATATAAAAATTTTACAGCTTGGTAACTTTTCACAAATGAAACATTTCCATAAACCATCATCTAGAGCAAGAAAAAGAATATGGAGCCAGCAATTCAAAGTGTCCCTGCTTCATTATGTTCCCCTCTGGTCACTACTCCTGCCCACTATCCTGCCCACTATCCTGACTACTAAAACCACTAGCTTTGTAGATTTTTATACCTTTTTAATAAATCGAGAAAAATTGTTTTTAAATTGAGTAATTTGAACTAGGTGTGGTACTGTGTACCTGTAATTCTAGCACTGGGAAGCTGAGGTGGGAAGGCTACTGAGTTCAAGGAAGCCTGAACTACATAATGAGACCCAGTCTCCAATCAATCAATCAATCATATATATTGTACTTAGCATGGTATTTGGTAAATGATTTGTTTTGCTCACCAGTGTGTGAGATCTGGTCACGTTGTGTACAGTTATCAACTGCCCGTTCCCACTGTGTGAACATACCACAAATGACTGGCATTTGAGTGGTTTCCAGTTTTGGGCTGTTATGAACATTACTGCTTTAAATATCCCAGACATATCTTTGATGAACATATATGGTAGCTTTTTAAAATTTATACTTCTAGTTAAGGAATTTCTAATGAATATATTCTGCTTTATGCCAAAATGCTCTCCAAGGTGGTTGTACTAATTTAAACTACCATCAGCAGAATATGAAGTTCCAGTTGCTTCCAACACTTAATCCAAGCACTGGGTGATGTCTTGGGAATATGCCAGGAGAGAGATACTAACTGTAAGTTAGAGACAGATTTCCTCAGTCCCAGTGTAAAATCTTACAGATAAACTCTGGGTATAGCTAGTCTTTGCCATTCTTTGGACAGGTTACAGGCCCTGGCTCCCAGAGCTCCTCACTCAGCACTGTACAGTTTGGAGAGTGGTACAGCATGCAAGCCCTGGTGAGGGAGGAGTGGGAGGAAGAAAGAGGAGAGCAGATGGGCTGGAAAAGTTCATGGTTAGTGGTTAGGCAAACAGGGGTCAGATCAGATCGATTCTTGTACTCTAAACTGTTAAAAGCTTCCTAGATTACTCCCCAAGCAGTGTTTGTGTTAAAATGGCATAATGTCACAACTAAAAATCTATAGACATCTAAAGCAGGCTGGTGGGGCATGTTTTGGGGGATTAGGAAGGTTCACAGGTGCTCCAAAAATTACATTAGCGGTCCTTTGTAAAAGGTCAGTTTTGCCTACAATCCCCCCCTTCCCCCCATCTTTTTATGGTACCAGGAATGCAATTCAGGACCTTGTGCTTGCCAGGCAGGTGCTGCACAGCTGAGCTATATCCCCTGCCCACTCTATCTTTTTTTGTAGTACCAGGAACTGAATCCACAGTGTTCACACTGAACTACATTCCCAGCCCTTTTGAGACATGATCTAGATAAACTCCCCAGGTTAGCATTGATCTTGTGAGACTTTGGCCTCAACCTGCTGAGCAGCTGGAATTACAGGCATGTGCCACCAGATTCAAAGCCTGGTATCTCTGTTTTTGGTGTTTTGTTTTGTTTTGAGACAGGGTCTTTATATGCGGTTCAGACTGACTTTGAACTCAGTTTGTAGCCCAGGCTGGTCTGGAACTCAAGTGATCCTTTTGCCTCAGCCTTTCAGAATTCAGAGAGCTGGGATTACAGGCTTGCACCTTCACAGCTGGCTGTTACCTCTCTCTCTCTCTCTGTCTTTTTCTTTTTTATCAGTATGGGGGATGGAACTCATGACCACACACTTGCAAAGCCCCAGCTTCTATTACCTCTTCTTGTAGGAAAGAATGTTTTCTTGTAAACCAAGCATTGAAAGGGAAATGGAAATACATGTAGTTCAGAGCAGGTCAACCTTTGTCAGAAAGATACACAGTTGTGGAATACTATAGACATTTCTCTCTTTTTTTTTTAATAACCATTCTTGGAATGATACAATCTTTCTAGTACTGGTAAAAAAGAAATCAGTTTTCAAAAATGTTTCCCTGTATTCCTAATCAACCACTAAACTAGAGCATACCAATAAGTCTCAGAACGTCTGACTGTAGTTTTCAACTACTTTTCTGTTTTTGTTTATACCCTTACTGAAAGTCTCTATCACTTGACTGCTTTCTTTTTGAAGATAATCACCAGATTTCCCCCCCCCCTTGGAGAAGTCAAAGGCTGAGGGTTAAATGCTGATTTGATATAGCTCTGGTTTCAGAAACCTTCCCACTCCTGGGAGGCTGTGGCAGAAAATGGTAAATTTAAGCCTAGCCTGGGCAATTTAGTGAAACTGTCTCAAAATTTAAAGGGGGTGGGGGCTGGGCTGGGTTCTATCCCTAGTACCACAAAAACCAAAATAAAACCCCTCCTTGGTCACTTCACAGCAAAACTTCAGTTAAGCATCTCATGCAAGCTGGAAAGGGGATGGCTTTAACTGTGTCTCTGCCACAGAGAGGGAAGAGAACAAATGTTAGGGAATAAATGTTAGGGCAAAGCAGCCAGGATTTTCCTAGAATTTTCCAAACTTTATAAGAACCCAAAGCCTAGGTTCTTATAAAATCTTTCAGGATTAGAGCTACTCTTATCCTGAAACTCTAGGAAGGGTAAAGGACTCATCAAATTTTTAATATATCCCTATTTTTTTTTTAAAGGACTGGAGATCGCCCGTGGGTCTAGAACCACCGGACCAATCGGCCCGGGCGGTTGGGAAGCCAGACACGAAGGAACCGCTGGGCTAAAGCCAGCCCCTATATATCCCTATTACAAAACGATGAAGAAATCAAGACTCAGGTTAGGGGACAAGCACGGTGGCACCTGCCTGTGATCCTTGCACTTGGGAAGCTGGAAGCAGAAGGATCACTGGACATAGTGAATTCAAGGCCAGCTTGCACTACAAAGTGAGAGCTTATTTAAAAAAAAAAAAAAATGACCCGAGGTTAAGTAACTCAATCCTTAATCCAGACTATTCTAAAATTCATGCTTTCCCACCAGACCTCATAATTTCCAGCACCAGCAAATTGATTTATCATACAGGCACTGAGTAACCACAGTATGGTAGGCACTGGCCACAGCATACTGGACAAAACGGGCGTGTTTCCTTCCCTCATAAAGTGCACACATCTAGCAGACTAAGCCAAAGAAGCAAGTTGGGGAAAGAAACCCAATTCAATTCATCTAATATTCGAGTAGAGTTCTCATATGCCGGTGAATCATTCATTCAGGGACCCCCTCCCCCGCACTGAAACTGAAATGGACCTATAAGCAGGGTCAAGGTTGGGGGGGGGGGTCAGTAAAGAGGACTTTTCTCTCTGAGAAGTCCTCTGAGCTTTCCTCGGAAAGAAAAATATCCAAGTCTTAAAAAACCATTCCCGCCCCCACTCCGTTCCAGGGTAAGCAGGTGGGCGTGGAGGGAGAAACAGGTGTGCGGTGAAGCCTCCACAGCCACGACTCAGTTGCCCGAGGGATACCGGAGAGGGGCGAAGGACTCCGGGGAGCTGAGCTCCCAAATCTCCCGCTTAGGACTCCACTAGACCTGCGAGGGGCCCGCTCCCTCCCGAAGCGGCTGTAGCAAAGAATGGACAACCTTGGTTCTCCAGAAATCGCCCCCCCCCCCCGCGCGCCATCTCGGTCTCCAAGTGCAGCTGCCGTCACAGGGCGGGGAGTAGTGGGACAGCGAAGCAAACGTGCCCGGGAGCACCACCCTGACCCTTGGGATCGAGGGGCGCTGCCCCCATCAAAGAGAGGTGCTAGAGCGGCAGCCAGCCCAGTACTCCGCCCCCGCCCCGCCCCGCCCGAACCCAGGCCGGGGGCGTCTGCACCTGAGGTGGAGCGCACTTTCAGCTCCCCAGCCCCCATTCAACCAAGAGGTGGAGGGCGAGCCTCAAGGTCCCCGCTCCGATTTTACCTCCTTTTTCACGTTCCACAGCAGTTTCTCTTTGACTGCGTCCTCGGCGTTGCCCATAGTGTGGCGGGTGGCGGGGAGGCCGCGCCACGCGGCCCCTCAAGCCCCCAGTGCGGCCTCGCCGCCTCCGCGCCTCTAGGCTCAGCGATCTAAGCGCAAGGCGTAGCCCCCGCCCGCCGCGCTTCCCGCCTGCAGCCGCCGCCGCCGCAGCCACTGCCCCGTGCTCGCCTCCGCAGCCATCTTCCGAGTCCTACACAGACGTCAAGCAGCAGGCCCGGCCCCTTCCCACAGCCGGAGGGGGGGCTGCGCACTGCGACGGGGGGAGTAGAGGCAGAGGGAGGGTGCTGGGCGCGCCCAGGGGCAGCTTACTCGGGCGCGCGCCTCAGGGGCCGCTGTCAAGGCAACGCTGTCAAGGCTCCTGCCCCTGGACGCGAACCTGCATTGTGAGCGGTGGTAGCTAATCCAGCGCAGCGCCCCGCTGAGCGGCTCTCTACTCCGCTAGATGCTAACTTGTCAACTCGCTCGCCCGACGGGAGGGAGAGCAAGGGATTGGAATGCCGGGACCCCGACACTAGGTCCCCAGAGCTCGAATCTGTCTACGAAAAGCCAGCGTTCTCTGGTTCCATTGCTCCTCTGGATCTCCCGACCAGCTTTCGGCCTCGGTTGCAAACTGTATGGGAAAAGATGTGAGGCACAGCTCCAGGTTCTAGAGAACCGGAGCCCCAGGGCCAGAAGGTCACAACCACTCTCCTTCCCCCTTTGGAATCGCTACGTCCCTTGCACCTATGTGAGGGCAGATTGGAATAACCGGAACCACGGGATCTTATGCAGAGCTGGTGAGGGTGAGACAAGCGCGTTCTGCCTTAGAACTTAAAAGGCATGGATGGAACCAAAAGGTTGCTCAGTGATAACACTTGCTGTTGCAAACTAAAGAGCAGCATTCTCTAGTCTATAGCTAAGAGCAGGGGCTGGGGCCTCTGCCACGAATGGGGTATATTCCATTCGCTATTTTCCTACGTGATGGAACTTTACAGTACTAAACATGAGAATATAAGTGGGCAAAATAGTCTTCCTGGACTGAGAGCCCAAGTTCCCAAGAGTCCACATTCTCTGTTTTAAAGCCTCCTAACTACAGGCTGTGGCAAAAATTCCCGCGGCAGTACTGCTGGGACTCCAAAGCCGTGAACTCTCAGGCTGGAGGTAAACACCTCGCGAGACTGTGCGTGAGCCCCGCCCCCTCCGAGGGACCGGAAGCGCTCGGCTTGGTCCGGAAGTACTGCTGACTTACCGCACGTGAGCGGTAGCATGGCAGCCCACCGGTCTGGCCCGCTTAAGCAACATAATAAAGCTCATAAAGGCGGGCGGCATCGGGGTCGAGGATCCGCACAGCGGGACGGCAAGGGTGAGGTGACAGGGTAGAAAGGGTTGTTAGTTAACTGCTTCAGCCAGGCCTCGATTGGGCTACAGTCTCTGGCTTGGGACCCGCAAGAAAGGCCAGTTGTTAGGGCCGAAAAAGGGTTCCCCTTTGTTGGGTTTCTCTTATCGAATATTACAGTCCTTCCTAATCGCTCCCTCAGGCCGTGTAGGACTGAAAGTCCTGTGCAAGAAGGTGAGAAGAGAGCTCAGCAGAGTCGACCAGAGACATCGAGCCAGCCAGCTGCGAAAGCAGAAAAAAGAGGCGGTGAGAGGAGTTCGGGAGGTGGTGTGGCTTCTCTCCCTTTCTAGGTGGATACTTGAACTCGGGAAACAACCCTGGAAGGGGCTGAAGACGGAGAACAGCGCCAGAGGCACACGTCGGCCCTCCAGGTCTAAACTCTGGCTAGAGCGTTCTTTGCTTCAGTCCATGCTTCTGCCACTTCCTACCTCCGACTTACATGCGGCCTTTAATCAGCAAAGTGCTGTTTAGAAGTGAGTGCATTGGGGGCTGGGGATTTAGCTCAGCGGCAGAAGCGCCTGCCTTGCAAGCAGGCAGTCGTGAGTTCAATCCCTGGTACCGATAAAAAGGAAAAAGACAGAAGTGAGTGCATCTGTTCTGTTGGAAATATAATACTAGAGCGAATTACAGAGATTTTTCTGATCCTTTTCTATCCACAGGTTCTGGCAGAGAAGAGACAGCTAGGCAGCAAAGATGGGGCTCCTCACCAGGTGCTGGTGGTGCCTTTGCATAACAGAATTTCTTTGCTTGAAGCCCTTCACCTGCTTCAGGATAGGAACGTGGGAACAGTGCACGTGCAGGAATGGGAGAGAACCCATCGTTTTATGCTGCTGTGCCCCCAATTGAAACATCGATGGTTTTTTACATCTGCAAAGCCAGGTTAGTGAATACAGTATTTCTCCAACCTTATGTTTGAGTACCAGTAATATTTCCTGAGTATAGTATGTTTGTGCCAATCACTACTTCTTATAGTATCTTCTATTTCTAGGGGATCTGCACACTGTATTAGACATGGCTAAAGTGGCTGATACCATCCTGTTCCTCCTTGATCCATTAGAAGGCTGGGACAGCACTGGGGATTACTGCCTTTCCTGCCTCTTTGCTCAGGGCCTTCCTACCCATAGTAAGTGAGTTGGGATATTGGAAGCCAGGGAAGAAAGTGAATTAGCATTTGTTGTGCACTTGTCATTTTCTAGGCACTATGTCTGGCATCTGACTCAGAATAAAACTGATGAGTTGTATTTAGTTGGTGTTGGAATGTACATGTACAAATTAAACTTAATCATTTAATTACAAATTATCAATCAAGGTACTTTTTTATTTCTGGGATGTCCATTAACCAGAACAAGAAAGATATGAAGTTTGGTTTCAGTGAAACCTCTTTAAGGTACCTAGGTGTTAGGTTTCTAGAGAACTCTAGGATCCCAGAACTGTTAGGTGTGTGTTAGTTTGTGAACTACAGCAAGATTTTCATGTAATGAAGCCTTTCTTCTTTTGCTTACAGCACTTGCTGTCCAAGGGGTTTCTTGCCTCCCACCGAAGAAGCAGGTAGATTCCAGAAAGAAGCTAAGTAAAGTAGTGGAGAAGCGCTTTCCTGATGATAAACTTTTTCTGTTAGACACTCAGCAAGAGGCACAGTTGCTGCTTAGACAGTTGGCTAACCAAAAACAAAGACATCTTGCTTTTCGAGATCGTCGGGCCTACTTGTTTGCACATGCTGCTGATTTTGTGCCTGGTGAACAGAATAAATTGGTGGGCACCTTGAAAATTTCAGGCTATGTTCGTGGGCAGAATTTGAATGTAAATAGCTTGCTGCATATTGTTGGACATGGTGATTTTCAGATGAAACAGATTGATGCCCCTATGGACCCTTTCCCTTTAAATCCTAGAGTGATTAAATCTCTGAAGGATCCAGGCATGGTGATGGAGGTAAGATTAATGTTTTGTTTTGAGATACACTCTTGCTATGTTGTCCAGGCTGGTCTTGAATTTCTGGGCCTACGTATTTGTCTCATATCTCATTCTTTTCATATAGCTGGGACTACAGGTGCATACCACCTTGCAATTCAGAATTGATGTTTTTTGTTGTTTTTGAGATGATACCATTATATAGTCCAGAGAGGTCTCCAATTTGTAATCCCAGCTCAGCCTCTTAAGTGCTAGGATTGCAGGGGTTAGTGGATCATGTGGTACTTTATGTTGACTTTTGGGAAGGATACTCAGGATTGAACCCAAAAGTATGTACATGTTTAGGGCCTAGCAGCAGCTCATCACACTTTCCCAACACATGCAAGGCCCGGATTTGATCCCCAGTGCTGCTTTTAAAAAAGAATAAAAAAATCATGTAGAGTCATAAGAAGGTTGGTGTAGGATGCAATGTTATTTTTTGGCAGTACTACAAATTGGAACCAGGGTTTCTGCACTGTTAATTCCTAGTCCCACCTCAGTTTTACTTGCTTAATTCTTGAGACAGGGTCTCACTAAGTTGTCCATGCTGGGCTTGAACTTGTGATCCTTTTGCCTCAGATTCTCAAGAGTGCAGGAACTGAAGGTATATACCACCAAGCCCAGTGAGATAGAAATTTAAATTCAGTGAAAGTAGTCTGTGCACTTTGAAGAAACCACTAGTTCAAAATAAGGCAGTAGTCAGTTACAAGTATATTAATAAATTATATTTACTCACCATAACTGGCTCTGAGTTTATAGAAGAAACACAAATGTGGTTACTTTTGTCAAGGAACTTACTTAAATCAAAAACATGGCAAGCACCAGTGTCTTGGTTATTTTTCTCTGGTTGCTGACACAAAAGATTTGACACCCAAAGTTAAAGGACACAGTTTGTAGGATAGCACATGGCAGAGGGGCAACTCTTCATGATGGCAGAAGAGCAAAAGCAACAAGGTGGAGCTTACGTTGTATGTGGGCTACCCGCCCTAAGGTGCATGTAGCACTCATGCCCTTAACCAGACTATGACAGATCAAGTGGTGGAATGATTTATCGTACACCTTTAATCCCAGCAGCATGCACTAGATTCAGCCACCTCTGAAAAAGCCCCACATGAGGCTTTGGGGAACATCTAGACAAACTATAACAACCTGTGAAATAAAGGTTAAGATAGGCCATGGTTAAAGTACAGACTTGCTGTGGAAATGGAGAAAGTTCTATAGTGGCGATTAGAGTTAAGTCTGGTGCTGAGAAGGATGAGTTAGGATTTATGAGTTGAGCAAAAGTGAAAGTGGATGTTTAAAGATTGAGATAATATGAAATCTGGCACAGTGATGTAGGAATTTCTTAGAATTTTGAAGAAAGCAGCTTATGAGGAGAAATACAATAAGCAGATTGTGAAAGGCCTCAAGAGCCAAGCAGGGGTACAGAGTTAAAATGTTAAGAACTGGCCATTTGCAAAATTTTAACAGGTTTTGACTATTTTATGCATCTATATGATGACAGATATTTCTGGATGTTTCTGGTTGCTGTGTTAGATTTTTGGTTAATACTTGACTGGCTAATACCTCCTCTGGTTTTCAGGTTTGTACTACAGATGCTGTAGCTGATATGGAAGACCTTAAGGTTCTAATGAAGGCAGACCCTAGCAGACAGGAGTCTTTGCAAACAGAGGTTATCCCAGATCCGATGGATGGGGAGCAAACCTGGCCTACTGAAGAGGAGCTGAGTGAGGCAAAGGGTTGGTAGTGACAAATTTGTTACTCATTTGACCTGAAATTGGAGTTTTCATCTGGCTGTTCATAGCTGTTTGCACACATAGAGGAGGTCATGAGTCTCCTTTATCAAATGCTGTATGATTACACTAAGCAAACACAGGACACAGCTTTATTTCTCAAATATCTGTCACTGTTTTATAGTGAACAAATAAACAACTTCAGCTCCATTGCAACATTTATTTAAATGTGCATTGCTACTTATGAGACAGCTAAATTAAATTGGGGAGTATTGTGTCCTGTTTATGACATCTGCTACTTTCCTATGTTGGCAGCAATTTCTAGTAACTTGCTAGGAGAGAAAACTGAGTGATGGGAGTAAGGAGATACAAAACTTACTTATTTGTGCTTTTATAGACTTGTTGAAGGAAAGTTCCAAGGTGGTAAAGAAGGTTCCCAAAGGAACGTCCAGTTACCAAGCTGAATGGATTTTGGATGAGGGTGGTGAAAGTGATGGGGAAGGAGAGGACTATGATGATATAAAACATGAGGATTTTATGGAAGAGGACTCTCAGGTAAGGCCCTTAGGCTACTTTCTTTTTTTTTTTTTTTTTTTTAGGCCACTTTCATATATAGCTCTAAACAGAAGACAAAATGCAATCCTTACCTTTATTTTTTTTGTTGTTGTTGTTGTCTTGGGGATTAAAGCCAGGTCCTTCTTGCTGAGCTGCTTCCCCAGACCTTTTTCAATTTTTATTTAGACAGGGTCTCACTGAGTTGCTAAATTGCCCAGGTTAGACTCAAATTCAAAGTCTTGTCTTTTCTTCTTTTTTTTTTTTTTTTTGGTACCAGGGATCAAATTTACAACCATCTGCTTGCAAGGCATGCGCTTATGCCGCTGAGCCAAATCCCCAGCTTCTCTTTTCTGAAATGGGGATTGAACTCACAACCTTGCACTTGCCAGCCAAGTACTTGCACTGCTGAACCAAATATCCTAGCCTCAGCCTCCCATGAGTGCTAAGATTATAGGCATAAACCATCATGCAGTCCTGACCTTTAAAGATATATCTGGTCAGCTTCTTAGGAATGACTATTGTTACTAGGGGAAAAGTTTTGTTTTGATATCTGGAGATAGGATCTCACTGTATAATGTAGCTTGACCTCAGATTTGGGGCAGTCTTCTTGCTTCAGCCTCTCAAGTGCTGGAATTACAGGCATGCACCATCAATCATGCCTAGCTAAGAGTTTTATTGTATGACTTTTCATTAGAATTTATATTGGTTGGGACTGGATGTTTAGTAAAATTATTTTATTCTTAGCTTAATGGTCTTTAGGGTAGAGATAGGTTGTTTTATTTCTGAGGTAATTACAGTATTGTCCATTGTTTTACAGTATGAGAGTAGTGAAGAAGAAGAAGTGGAGGAATGTGAAACTATGACAATAGGGGAGTCTGTGCATGATGATTTGTATGATGAAAAAATGGATGAGGAGGCTGAGGAAAAAATGTTGGAGAAATATAAACAAGAAAGAATGGAAGAGATGTTTCCAGATGAAATAGACACACCTCGTGATGTGCCTGCTAGAATTCGGTTAGTCAACTAGTTTAAATTCAAACAAGCTTTTATTTAAAATTTATATAAGTCAGAACTATGTCAAGGTGATAGAAAAGAAAACACATTGTCCTTGCTCCTGAAGGCTAACATTCTACATGGGAAGGTGACGTGCCTTATATGTACCATGCTCTAGACTGCAGTATAGACTAATGTTATAGGACTGTAATGAAGGAGAACTACTAGGGTTCATTTAGCAAATACTTCCTACAGGAGCTAATATTCAGTTAAATGTAATGTTTGAAGACTTTTGGGGAATTTTAGTATAAAAGCAAAAATAAAAGTATGAAGATGTAGATGATTGTGTTTGCTCTGAAAGAGAATCTGAGTAAAGCCAGAGAAGTTAAACCATATATATATATATATATATATATATATATATATATATGGTTTATTAGAGTGGTAAAACTATTAACAAGACTCTTGTTTGTTATGTTAAAGAGCAATTCCTTGATACATGAGGGAGCCACTGTAATTTTGTCTTTAATTAGTGCAACACTTTAGTATGGTTGTGAAATAACTTGTTAAAAGCTGTTTTAGTATGTGATCTTGATTTAAGATTTTAGGGTATTTTGAGATAATGACTAGAGTTCTTTTAAGCTACGGTAGTAGTTTAGAGGTGGTATGAGCCTTGCATAGCACCATATAAACTCTTAGTTTCTTTAAAATCTCCTGTATCTTTTTATTTTATTTTATTTAAGAGGAAAAAGAGAAAAACACAAAACAAAACAAAACAAAGCAGTGTAAGATTACACATAATACAGAACTACAAAAAAAAAAAAACATAACAGTAAGAAATCACCTGTTAATAGATTACATATTATCATCTTGGAAATAGTTGCTCAAATCACAGTATCAAAGAATACAAAGTAGACATTCAAACAGAGAGACTGCAAACAGCTGTGTTCAATGATCCAAAAACATTAATATAGTCAGCTATTTAACACCCCTAAACATACTTGCTGTTATATCCGTTAGAGCTCTTTTTTTTTTTTTTTCCTCCCTCTCTTTTTTACAACAAAATCTCCTGTATCTTAGATTTCAGAAATACAGAGGCCTCAAGAGCTTTCGGACATCTCCATGGGATCCTAAGGAAAACCTTCCTCGAGATTATGCTCGTATCTTTCAGTTTCAGAACTTTGCTAATACTAGGAAATGCATCTTTAAAGAGATTGAGGAAAAAGAGGCTGAAGGGGCTGAGGTATTTGCCTTTATTTATCCATCCTATAATTGGTTACCACATCACTGCGCTTTACTCTTCTTGGCATGAATGCTTAGTTTTGTATTGTTCATAATTAAATTTGGGGAACCACTAAGTCATAGATAAAAGTGATACTATGAACAAAGGGGCATCAGAGCTGTAAACTGAAGAAACTAAGGTATCTGTGTGAAGCAATCTTGAAGAGTCAGGCTGATTTTAGGGTAGTTTGAGAAACTTAATGGATTTGGAGAAATGTTTCATCATTATTAGACGTTAGGGGAATACTGATTGTTTTCTATGTCTGGCAGGTTGGCTGGTATGTCACACTTCATGTCTCTGAAGTCCCTGTCTCAGTGGTTGAGGACTTCAGGCGAGGAGCACCCTTGATTGCATTTTCTTTGCTACTTCATGAACAGAAGGTAAATCAGGTGTTGTGGGAATGAGGAGTTAAGAAACTTTCCAATCCCTTCATGACATTTGATCACTGGGATGCAGAATGTGCCATTATGATCAAAGAACAAAAGAGGAGTCAATGATGGTTATAACCCACAATGTCTGAACCTATCTGAAGCATCTTTGTGATGTAGTCATTCTGTCATTCTGAGACTTCTTTAAGATGATTTGAAGGCTGATGATTTTATGGCAGGTGTTGACCTTTTTCATGTTAGATGCAGGAAGGTAAGCCAATTTAAAAGAGTTCATGAAAACTCTGATGAACTGATGTTCAACCCTAAGGATAGTTGTTGCTAGAGGATAAATATGTATCCTATCATTTACCATCTGCTATTAATTATCATTGTCAGATCTGTTTATCTTACTTCAGGTTAGGTTACTGTATTCCTACTTCAGGTTAGGTTATTGTATTCCTAGACTATAAATTTTTTTCTTATTTTGTCCTCAGATGTCAGTATTGAACATGGTGGTGAGCCGGAACCCTGGAAACACTGAACCCGTGAAAGCCAAAGAGGAACTGATTTTCCATTGTGGATTCAGACGTTTCCGAGCCTCACCTTTATTCTCTCAGCACACTGCAGGTTAGAAGAGGGGAAGTGTCTCGGTTCTGGTCCATTTTAATATCTTTTAGGAAACTGACTATTTGGGAAGTGCGTGGGAAAGTGCAGAATACACAGTTGAGTACTCTGACTTAGGAGCCAGTGATGTTTTTATTCATAATGTCTGAACCTATCTGAAGCATCGCCATGATGCAACATCTGTTACTGAGGCTTCTTTGGCATGAGTATTTGTTCAGTAGGTTTTGAATCAGAGTCAGCAGCTTTATGAAAAAGAATGTGTCACCGTGTGGGAAGTTGGTTTCTAGTGTGCCAGTGCCATTGTGAAGTAATAGAGGCAGGGTGTGGCCCAGAATTAGGTAAAGTGTGAATTTCAAGGTGTTGCGACTAGATGAGAATTTGGAAAGGCATAGCCAGGGACATTTGTGTGGCACAAATGATTGTGCTCCTACATATTAGGAGTAGCAAGATATGTTGCCCACTAATTCAGTAGCCTTTGAAGATAACCTTAGCTTTTTCAGCCCTTAGCAATGGTAGAAAAGATGAAAACAAATTGATGGTGCTCTGGAAAAGTTGTATTATCTGGCTCTTTCCAATAAATGTTTTCCAGTCCCTGCTCAAGATTAAGGGCTGATGATTTAGCAGAGGGAGTCTCAAAGCACTGATTTTCAAATGAGGTAGGAGTGATAGGCAGAATCACCTGGAGAACTTTTTGAAACCCAAGTATAGTTTGGTCCCCAAGATATCTGTCCCTAGTTGAAAAATGACAGGACTGAGTTACATTTTTTTTAGTAGTACTGAGACAGGAAAAATTACTAAGAATTAGTGGGGCAAAGAGCCCAGGCTGCTTTCAGTTTGAGTTGCAGTTTGGCATTTGGGCTGGAGGTATAGCTGAGTGCTTGGCTAGCATGTGTGAGGCCCTGGGTTCAATCACCAATACTGGGGGAAAAAAGTGCTGTGATAAAGTTTTTCCTTATGGTTTCTCACAATGTTTTTGGTTTAACCTTTATCATGGCAGCGGATAAACACAAATTTCAGAGGTTTCTGACTGCTGATGCAGCCTTGGTGGCAACAGTATATGCACCAATTACTTTTCCTCCTGCATCTGTGCTTCTTTTCAAGCAGAAAAGCAACGGTGAGTTGAGTTCATAGGAGTGAATAGCCTTACCTGTCCTTAATATGATTATTATATCTTTGTATTTTGATTTGGAGCCAAACAGTATAGAAAAAGTAATTATTTTCAGTCTTGGCCTCCCAGTGGTTATAAGTCAGGGATGATAAACTTTGTTTTCTGCTGTTTGCAACTCTTAGCTAATCAGTAGAGGTTGTTTAGAGTGCTATATTTAGGATAGGTTTGAGCACAGACTCAGTAGGAATATCATTTAGTGAACTTTGCCAGTGGGCAAAGTGGGGGGATCATAGTGCATATTAATTCTAAGATTTCTCCAAGAAAATCTTACCTATGAACTATCTTTAAATGGATGGACTAGATAATTACATGAGACTGTAGACCCTGAATAACTTTTCCTTTCCCCTTTAGGAATGCACAGCCTTGTTGCTACAGGACATCTGTTGTCAGTGGATCCAGACAGAATGGTCATCAAGAGAGTTGTTCTGAGTGGTCATCCCTTCAAAATTTTTACTAAGATGGCAGTAGTGCGATACATGTTCTTCAATAGAGGTAGGTAGGTATGAAGGAGGATGGGATCTGATTGCCTTTTTGTGATGTGATGGTTGGGCTTACATTTATGAGTATATTTATCTTGGTCTTCTCTGTGTTTTAAGAGGATGTATTATGGTTTAAACCGGTGGAACTGAGGACAAAGTGGGGCCGCAGGGGACACATCAAAGAGCCTTTAGGTAAGGGAATTTGGGACCTTACCTAGATTTCTCCACTTCTACCAAAGAAGCATTGGGTTTGAAGTTCACTGTTTTAAATTTTCTCTTTTTTTCCCCCCTGTTGGGGGGGAAAAGCAAATATGCTCAATCACTGAGTTATACCCCTAATCCTTTTTATTTTTAATGAACTAATTATAAGTAAAACAAAAAATAAACAAGTTTTTTTTTTTTTTTTGATAAATGGAAAGGGGAGGGGGCCAAGAGATGGAGGGAGGTGAGGGGAGGTGGTTAAAAGTTAAGATGCATGTGCTAGCTCCACATGAAGAATGTGATCATTATGTACTACAACAAGTTGTAATTAAAAAAACTGGAAAAAGATTTTAAAAAATGGATTGTGTGGTATTAAGGATCAACTCCAGGGCCTTTGTATTGAATTATATTTCCAGCCCTCTTTTGGTTTTTTATTTTGGGATAAGGAATTGCTAAGTTATTTGCCTGGGTTTGAACTTGTGATTATACTGTGTTAGGCTCTAAAGTTGCTGGCATGTTCAGGCCAGCCTTAAACTCACTGTGTAGTTCAGGCTGACCTTGAACTTGAGCAAGATCCTCTTGCCTCAGCTTCCTGAGTGCTGGAATTTTACATGTGTACCACCATACCCAACTAACGTGCTGTTTTCTTTCTAGGTACCCATGGCCACATGAAGTGTACTTTTGATGGGAAGCTAAAATCTCAGGACACAGTACTGATGAACCTCTATAAACGTGTTTTCCCCAAATGGACTTATGATCCATATGTATCAGAACCAGTCCCATGGGTGAAAAGTAAGATTTCTTCAACAGTGCCTGAAGTGGACATGGAATAATGGATTCTACCTTACTGATGCCAGTTAGCACTTCCAGGATGGGAGCCTATAATTTGTGGTGGGGCAGTTTGTGGTTTCTGCTTTAGCCTGTCATTTGGTGCCCTATTTTTGGCCTAACAAATGTCACAGTTAAGTATGGAAGTTATTCTACTGCAACTTTATTAAATCTCACTGAAATACATTCTCCATTAGGATTTTGAAAACTAAGAGAATATGGAAAACAATAATTTCACGTATGTAAAGATAATCACATCTCTTTGTTTTACACAGATGAATGGCTAATAAGGACCTGGCCTCTCAGCTGGCTTCACCCAAGTTAGGGAGGTTAAGTCTACATTTCCACCACTTAGCACAATACAAACATTCTTTACTTCTGGAGAAACTGTTTGAAAGTTGTGAGACAGCACAGCGGCTACTCCAACACCAGCTGTAGGTTCAATGAGCAGTTTCATCCTCTCCCACACAAGCTGGGTTGCATACTGTTGGCAGAGGAGGAAGTGCAGTTAGGTGAGCTATGAGAAGGGCAAAGTCCAGAAGGTTCAGTTCTAAAGGACCAAAAAGGATGTATACTCAGTTTGACTTTTCATGTTGCAGTGTGTGTATGCTTAGCAATAAAGCACGCACACAGCTTTCATTCCTAATATTTTCAAGATGTTTTTCAGTACATGCAGGGTACTCCTATGTTACATTCCCCCCCCCCCCCCAATCAGGGATTGAACTCACGACCATGCGCTTGCAAGGCAGGTACTTATGCCGCTGAGCTAAATCCCCAGCCCCTCCCATATGTTATGAGGTCACCAACTTGGAAGGTCCCATAGATTAGTTCCTACTCTTAACAGAAGGTTCTTTATTGCCTTAGTGACAGCACTATTATTATTTCCTGTTGGAGCCTTACCTTAATTTCATCCTCTGTAACAGTGAAGACATCATCCACAAGATCCCTTATGATAGGCCAGGTGTTTGTGCCAATGCTGGATTTGACACCATCTGCTACAGTTTCTGGAGGATAAGTATTGGGGGTCAATTCCCCTTTGAGTTTGGACTGGTAGCAGTCATCTGCATTTAAGGGTTCAGCAGCATATACCTTCACACTAGGTTTCAGAGCCTAAGAAGAGGAATATTAGACACTTTGTAACTGTCCTTAGCATTGTGTGCATGCTGACATTGGCTTACTAGGTTATACATTTCTACCTAAGTCTTCTGTTTGACAAATGTAACAGAAACATGACCTTCAAGCATTTTATAAAATAAGTTGTATGTATCACAACTGGTTCTGGTAGTTCGGGAAGTGTAGTCCCTGTTGTGCATAATAGTTTGGTGAAAGGGATTCAGGGGACCGACTGAAGGTGTGTCATTCAATGTAACAACATTGTACTGTAAAATCATAGGTGAAGAACAGCGTAGTGAAGTACAAGAAGGGCTTGGTGTCTCAGGTTCCAAGATTTGTTGGGAAAGAATGGTGGTTTGGGGGATGTTTCCACGGTGCAGTATGATGTAAGTAAATCCTCCATGCCAAACGCAAGAAGCCTTAGCATCAGAAGCTATTTTCTCACCTTAACTGTAATTGCTATTCCAGCAACCATTCCTCCTCCCCCTACAGGTACCACCAGTGCATCCACCAAGGGAACCTTTAGTAAAAATATAAACAGGCCAATTAATAAAAAGTTTAGTATCAACACATGAAATAACTTGAGTCTATAATCAAATAGTTTTACTAATAGCTAAAATACGGAACTAATTAGGCTGTTTTACCTGGTTCAGCACTTCCAGAGCAATGGTTCCTTGTCCAGCTATCACTGCAGGCTCTTGGTTAGGATGTACCAGGATGCCTTCTGTTTCTTCCATAATTCTTTTTGTAACCTTTTCTCTAGACTGAAAAAATACAGTAACTTGATTTGCATCTAGTAGTTTTCAGAAGGTTTGGTTTAGTCCCTTATCAGTTTATTGACCATTTTGTTTTTTTGTCAGACTTGTTTAGTCACTGTGGCTAGATAAGGAAGTGAACAAAATATATCCTGTTACGCAGTGTTATCTTCTTAAAGGTGGGATATAAGTTAATGTGTGGTATATGTCTTAAGTACTGTAGAGAAAACTAAATGAAGGTAGTACAGAGGCTGACCAAGAAGGGCCTCTTGTAAATTGCCAGATTACAGATATAGTTACTGTGAGTCTGCAGAATATTCCAAGGATGTGGTAATAGCAAATACCAAGATTGTAAGGTAGGAGTGATTGACCTTTGTGAAGAGCTGGTATTGTGATTGGCATGGTGTGTTTGGGGATGGTAACTGTTAGATGAAATCAGAAAGATAGAAAATTAGTTCATTTAGGCTTTAGGTAATGCAAGAACTTTAGTTGTCTGGGAAGTGCATCTTAGTGGGAAGAATATACTCAGCATGAGCAAGGTCCTCGGTTTAGTCTCCTCAGCATCAAACTAAACAAACACCTTCAAGTTTTGAGTGTGGTAGCACAGCCCTATAATCTCAGCACTCATGAGATTGAGGCAGCACTGTGAATTTTGAGGCCAGCCTGGGCTACATAGCAGGATCTTATCTCAAAAAAAAAAAAAAAAAAAAAAAAAAAAAATTTGGTTTTCACTGTGAGGTGGGAAATAATAGAAGGATTTGATTTCACAAGAACAGGTTTAAGACTAAATGGGTAGCTCTGATGTTCTTAAAAATGGATGAGAGGTGTGAGGGTGAAAGCAAAGACCAGTTAAGCTACTGAATCTAGGTGGTGGAGATAGAGGCCATTAACAGTAGATGGATTATGGGAATGTTCTGAAAGCAGGACAGACTTGGATGTGAGGTGTGAGAGTTAACAAAAGTATTTTCCTTCAGCAACTAGCATAAATGTTGGCATGTACTAAGATGACAAAGATTATGGAAAGGAACAGTGGGGGGGGGGGAGGGGATCAGAAGTTTGGTTTTAGACATAGCTTTGAGATGCCTCTGAAAAGGACCAAGTAAGAATTTGAATGATCAGTAGCTGACAGATATACACGTGTGGGGTTAAGGGGAAAGATCAGGATTGGAATTGAGTAGAGGCGTTATTTTAAATTGAAATTAATGAGACCATCTTGAGTGCATATAGATAGAGAAAAGGCTGGGCATGCTAACACTGAGAGATGAAGAGAAAGCAGCAGCAGTAAGGAAAGAAGCATGGTTGGACAAATGAGGCTATTAAGATATTACTAAAGCCTGTTTTCCTCCTCACCTCATCACTCTGTCCACTGTATATTATGGAAGCTCCATAGGCTTGTATTGCCAGTTTTTTACAGTTGGGAGCTGTTTGGGGCACCACAATATAAGCAGGAATCCCTGGGAGTGGAAAAATTTGTTAGTGTAAGTCAAGAGAATTTGGCATAAAAACTTAGTTTCAAGACCAGGGATTTAGCTCAGTGACACAGCGCCTGCCTGGCAAGCAAGTTCGATTTCTGTACCAAAAAAACCAAACCAAACAAAAAAACCCTGGTACATTTTGCTAGTAGTCAGGTAGGGACGCTTTAGAAGTTTACTTCCCATATCTATAACCTCTCCTCCTGAAATTAATAATTTTCTATTTTCTGATCATTTTACCAAAATCCTGAGAAAATCAAGTACCTTCTAATTTGGCAGCATAGGTGAGAGCCTGGCCATGGTTTCCGCTGCTGTGAGTAACAACAGCTTTGGGCTTCCCTCCTAAAGTGGCAGCATTTAGGCCTCTGATGGCATTAAGGGCACCACGAATCTGGAAAAGAGGGATGGTGAATTCATGTACAGTCATACACTGCTTTGCAGTGAGGACATATTCTAAGAAGTGCATCATCAGGCAGTTTGCTTGTGTGAACATCATAGAGGATAATTACACAAAATTACACTGTTCTAGACTTAAACCTGCACAGCGTGTAACTAAATGTAGGCAATTACAACACAATATTAGGTACTTGTGCATGTAAACAGAGAAAGGATACAGCAAACATTACAGTGTAAGAGGTAAAAATACCACTAGTATAGGGCACACACCATGACCACAGTCTGCAGGACTAGAAGTCGCCCTAGTGAATGTGAAGGCCAAGGACAGTACACTGCGGTAAACTTTACAAGCACTGTACACTTTAAGCCCCAGTAAGTTTATAAAAAGTATTTTTCAATAAATTAACAGCTTAATTTAACTTTATAAGCTAAAAATTTTCTTTTTGACTTTTGTAGTAACATGTTTAAAATACACTGTAAAGCTATGTAAACCTTTATCTCCTATAAGCTTTCTCATTTCATCTTATGTTTTATGTTTTTGTGGTCCTGTGGCTCAAACTCAAGGCTTAACACACATTGGCACGAAGGCTTTACCATTGAGCTTCAGCCCTTCTATTTTAACGTTTCAGTGTTTTCAGTTTTTTTTTTTTTTTTTTCTTTTTCTTTTCTTTTTATCGGTACCGGGGATCGAACTCATGACCGCCTGCTTGCAAGGCAGGTGCTTATGCCACTAAGTTAAATCCCCAGCCCCTGTGTTTTCAGTTTTTAAACTTCGTTAAAAACTAAGAAACACACTAGCCTAGGCCAGTGGTGGTCAACCTATAGCATTTGTGCCACAGCGGGCTTTTTGTTGCTGAAAGCTCTTAAAAGGTTCACTATCATTGGTGAGCAATGTTGGGATCATCAATTTACTGCTTTCATCCATCCATTTTGTTCTACTGGAAGGTCTTCAAGGGTAGTACCACATAGAGCTATCATTTATAACAATGCCCCCGGGAATTCTGGCCTGCTAGTCCCCTGTCTCCTGTAAGTGCTAGAAATAAAACCCAGGCACATCCTAGGTAAGTGCCCTATCACTGAGGTATACACTCAACCCAACTGTGTATGTATGTGGTCCTGTGTATGCACACTGGGGACTGAACCCAGAGACTGCTGCGCTGTATCCCTAGCCCTTATATTTTGAGACAGGGTCTCTAGGTTGCTCAGATGGGCCTCAGACTTAGAATCCTACTCTCCCAGGCTCTCACCTTGTCCAGCATGAGAGACTTCATGTTAGCAAACCTCAACTGACACTGCCTCAGAGATCACTCATTTGTTATTTTCACTGGATATAAAAGTGATTGTTAGGTGAAGTGGCACAAGCCTATAATCTCAGTATTTGAGAGGCTGAGGCAGGAGGGTTGCCAGGAGATCGAGGCCAGCCTGGGCTACAAAGTGAGTTCAGGCCATCTTGAACTACATAGTAAAACCCTGTGTCAAAGAGACACCCCACCCCCATGACCTTTTAAAAACACAAACGTAGTCATTTATGGACTATTTTGTTCTGTAAGATAAAAGTGTAAGTTTCTTCTGTGTTGAGGCCTGTTTGTTTTCTGAGATAAGGCTTGGTATGTAACCTTGAACTATGTAGCCCAGGCTATTCTCAAACTTGGGGCAATCTTCCTCTGTCAGCGTCCTAATTGCTAGGATTACAGGCATATGCCACATCACCCAGCTGGTTGCAGCCTTTCTAAAATATCTGCTCTTTCATGGCTATAGCCTAAATTGTTTCTAGTTTTCCTCCTAGGTTAGCTCAACATCCCCATCTTCCCCTAACTCCCTGTATATAACGAGTAAAACTTGGAACAAATATCACCTGTTCAACTTCTCTTGGTCAAAGGTAACCATTTCAAAACTGGGTGGTGGTGTGCATGCTTGTAATCCCATCACTTGGGAGGCTGAGGCAAGAGAACAGTACAGAATTTGAGGCCACCCTGTTCTACACAGTGAGCTGAAGGCCAGCCTAAGCTACATAGTGAGACCTTGTCTCAGAAAAATAAATGAATAAAAAAATAACCATTTTATTGTTATTTCATAGCACCTGTTTGTATGTCTTTATTTTTTTTTTTTTTTTGGTACCAGGGATTGAACTCAAGACTGTAAGCTTACCAAGCAGGCACTTGTGCTGCTGAGCTAAACCCTCTGCCCTCGACACTTTTCATCTGCTTATTTGTTGATCAGCTTGTCTTTCCACTGAGATAGTGTGGGTGAAGGATAAAGCATATTGTATGTATGTCCTGTATTTACTGAAAGTAAGTACTTAATGTGTGATGAGCGAATGAAGAGTAAATCGTGGTAGAAGCAATGAGTAATAAAAGACAGTTTAAAATTTTAAAAAAGCTCTCAGTGGGGATCTTTCAGTTCAGGTTCTCCTGAAAGGATCTTAGGCTTAACTAATTGGTCAGAAGATTTTACTAACAAGTTAACAAACAGAAGTCTTATCTTTGTGTGTACGTGTGTATACATACACATCTGTATACAGTAATGGGGACTGAACCCTGGGCCTTTGTGCTGAGCTACATCCCTAGCCCTTTTATTTTTCTTTTGAGACTGGGTCTTTTTAGTCACCCAGTTGCCCAAACTGGGTTCAAATCTGTGTTCCTCCCAGAATGCAACACCATGCCTGGCTGACAAGTCCACCTTTATGTATAAAAGGCACTGAAATACTTTTATAGAAAAAGGTTTTATCTGAAAATTTAGGTTTAGCTCTTCTATATTCAAAAAGTATCAACGTATGTAGCAAGCTGTGTATAACAAAGTATATTCTCACACATTCTCCATTCTGCCAGTGATAGTCCTGGATGATGCCTATTGTGACTGTTTGGTAACAGGGATTTGAACTCATGACCTTGTACTTTCCAGGCAGGCACTTGTGCTACTGAGCTAAATCCCCAGCCCTATGTGATGCTGTTTTGTGTTGTGGTGCTGGGGTCTGAAACCAGGGCTTCAGTACATGCTGGCAAGTGCAGCACCACTGAGCTTCATTGCTTACCTTTCTCCCATTTTAGAGACAAAAGAGTTTCAAGTTGCCTAGGTTGGTTCTGAACTTCTGGATCAAGCAATCCTCCTATTTATATAGTCCAAAGTAGCTGAAACTCCAGGCCTGGCTCATTGTCTAGTTTTAATCATTAGGATTTCTGTTTTTGATTGTCAAGTATCCTAGTTTGGGCAATAAATGTTATTATGCAAAACATAAGTTATCTGGATAAATCATAAATATGTGATTCTAAGGAATTTTTAGATTGTATAAAAATTTTTCAACACTAATGTGAAATAACTAGGACTTGAAAAATCCTGTAAACTTTTAGCTGTAAAAAAGGTATTAAATAAAAAAAAAAAAGGTATTTAATTCACCCTATCTCATGGGTGGTCAGGAAAACCAAATAAATTTATAAGCTAAGGGACTAGAAAACAAATATACTTGAATACAATAACAAAAGGGATTTTTACCTTAAAAGATCCAGTTTTCTGGAAGAGTTCACATTTGAAGAAAAGATTGCGCCCTGCTACTTGATTCAAAATGGAGCTTGTTAGCACTGGTGTGAGGTGTACATAATCTTGAATGTTGGTATGAGCTTTTTCAACATCAGCATAGGAGATGCAGTATTGAGCACACATGGTTCTGGAATCCAGGAATAAGAAAGAGGTCAAATTGAAGCCTTAGACCATGTGTTTATTGAAAAGATCTTGAATATGCATAATGTGAAAAATTGAGCTGGGACCTGTGGTGCTATGTGAAATTGTCTCCTTTATTGAGTTTCAGAATTTTCTGTATAGAAGGGACTTGTCTTCGAGCTGAAGTTTTCTGGTGAATCTTTATAGGAAATAACTAATGGTGCTTGTTGAAGTTAAAACTTACTCCCCTACTCATATAACCCATCTTTTGGCACTGTCATTGCTTTTTTCATTGTTTTATAGATTGAAATCACTATGTAGTCCAAGCTGGTCTTGAGCTCACAGCAGTCCTCCTTCCTCAGCCTCCCAAATGCTAGGATTATAGGCATGTGCCACCACACCTGGCAGGTTTTTGTTTTTTGATACTGGGGAATGAAGCCAAAGCCTTCACACTTAGCTACATTGTGTAACCTTTATTTTCTACTTTGAGACAGGGACTTGCCAAGTTGCCCAGGCTGGGTTCAAATTTGCAGTCTGCCTGTCTCAGTCTCCCATGGTATACCCTCATGCCCAACTTTGTTTTGGTTGGGGTTTTGCTTTGTTTTTCAAATCCATTTTATTTCAAAGAGGAAAAAAAGCAAAAAACACAATTTCAAAATATGACAGAGCTGGTTGGGTTTTTTGTTTTGGGGATGGAGGCTGACTCTGTTCTGTAGCCTCATGTTGAACTCCTAGATTCAAAGGATCCTTTCACCTAGCCTCTCAAGTGGTACGACTACAATACTTAAATTTATTTATATATATTTCTGTAGTGATGGGCACTGAACTCCAGGGTTTCAAGGATGCTAGGAAAGAACTCTACCACTGAGCTGCATTCTGAGATTTCAATAGACTCTCAGCAAGTTGAGCTTGCCATCCTCCTACTTTATCCTCCCTAGTAGCTTGGGTTACAGGGATGTAACACTGCATCTAGCTTAACTTGCTACTTCTTTAAAACATTACTAAACAAACTGCCTACAGTACTACCACATTAATAAATTAAGCCTGGTGTAGTGTTGCACACTTGTAATTCCACCACTCTCGGGCTGAGGCAGGATGATCACAAATTTGAGCTCAACGTGAGCAATTTAATGGGATCTTATTTAAAATCAAAAACAAAATGGGGCTGGAAAGTAGTTCAGTGCACCAGGTCCTGTGTTCAGTCCCCCGTACTGCCAAAAAACTCCCAAAACAAAACCACTATTTTGTTTCATTTTGGGGCTTTTTTAGCGGGGAAGGGTAGCTTTTTGAGGCAAGGTTTTGCTATGTAGTCCAGGATGGCTTTGAGCTCATTTTATAGTCCAGGCTGGCCTCAATTTTGCAAGGATCCTCTTGCCTCAGCCTTCCAAGGGCTGGGATTTCAGGTATGTATCACCATACTTGGCTCCTTCCATTTTTTATTATGTAGATATTACATGACAGTAAAGTCAAAGCAAACATCATCTTCCATTTGATTTAGTTTATTCAAAGTTTCCATAACTAGAATTTCCAGTAATTGTACTCTTTATGGTAGGTTTTAAACATGAAGTTTCTCTACTTTTCTTTTTTTGGGGGGGAGACCTTTTGAGATAGGACCTTGCTCTGTAATTCAGGCTGGCCTTGAACTTGTGGTAAGCCTCCTCCCTCTGCCTCCCAAGTGCTGGGCTTATAGGCATACACCATTACACCTGGCCATTTCCTCTTATGAAAACAATCCTGGGTAGGGATACAGCTCAGTGGCAGTGCCTTCCTGGCAGACACAAGGTCCTGAGTTTGATTCCCCGTTAAAAAAAAAAAAAAAAAAAAAAAACAATCCATAGAAGTACAAAAACAAAGTTCAATTTGAAAGTATAGAGATGACTGGGCATGGTAGTGCATGCCTATAATCCCATCACTCAGGAGGCTGAGGCAGGAGGTTCATTTCGAGTTCGAGACCAGCCTGGGCTACAAAGTGAGCTCATGGCCAACCTTAACTGCATAGTAAGACTGCCCCAAAATGACACACAACAAAACAAAATGAGAGGTAAATCCAGCATGGTGGCATACACCTGTAATCTCAGCACTAGGGAGGCTAAGGCAGGAGAATCACTGTGAGTTTGAGGCCAGTGTACACTGTGTAGTGGGTTCAAGGTAAACCTGAATTACTGAATGAGAAGACTGTCTCAAAAAAAACAAAAACAAAAAAACACCTTTTGGCTAGAACTGCCCTCTTCTAGTAATTTGCCAAAATTACTAACACAAAAGCAAAGAAGAGGAAACCTTTTAGAAAACATGGAGTTGTTCCTTTGGCCATATACATGCAAATTTATAAAAAGGGTGATGCTGTAAGATATAAAGGGAATGGGTACTGTACAAAAAGGAATGCCACACAAATGTTACCATGACAAAACAGGAAGAGTATACGTTACCCAGCACGCTACTGTAGGCAGGCACTGTTGTAAAGAGGCAAGTTAAGGACAAGATACTTGCCAAGAGGGTTAATGTGCATACTGAGCATAAACACTCAAATGATCAAAAAAAGGAAGCCCCAGCCTGCCCGGCCAAGAGAAGCACACTTTGTAACAACCAATGGGAAGGAGCCTGACTTGTTGGAACCTATTCCCTGTGAATTCATGGCATAAACTGGGGATGGAGCTCTGTCATTCAGTACTCAATTGGTGACTTAAGTGTTCTAGGCTCTACTTAAAAGTAAAAAATCATCCTGTTATAAGAATGGCTTTCTTAATTCAAAAATAAAAAACACCTCCCTAAAACCCAGAGATATAAATAACTCTTCCTACCCAAAGACAACTGCTAAGCTCTGGTAATTTATTTATATTTACAAATACATGGCTAGCAAAACTTGTTGACAGGTTAATGTTTTTCAGACAATATTTATTAAATACCTATGAATTTTATCAACAGTAAAGTCACAGAAATTTTTTTGTTTGTCTTTTGAGGTAGGGTCTCACTATGTTGTTTAGGCTGCCCCTGTGTAGCCCAGGCTGGCCTTGAACTTGTGATGATCTCCTGCCTCAGTCTCCCAGTGTTAGGATTACAGGTATGTGCCACCATGCCTCACTTTTTTGGTACCGGAGATGAGCTAAATCCCCCAGTTTTATTTTTATTTTTTATTTGGAACTGGGGATCAAACTCATGACCTAGAGCTTGCCAGGCAGGCACTTAATTTCATTGAGCTATATCCCCAGCCCTCAGTTTTAGATACAGGGTCATGTTATTTTCTCCAATTTAATCTCAAACTTCTGCTGCCTCAACCTCCCATTTGCTGACACTAGACCCACAATACCACACATAATCGTATGCAACTTTTAAAATGGTATAATATTTTTTGTACAGAATTACTGTAATTTTTTTATTTAAAGAGAAAAACAGCAGTAAAAGGGTAATTTACTGTAATTTTTGGTTAAAGATGTAGCTCAAGTGATAGAATGCTTGTTCAGCATGCATGAGGTCATGGGTTCAATCTCAGCACCTCTAAAGAAACCCAAAACCAAAATTCTACTTTTACATAGTTGAACCAACCTTCCTTTTATTGTCTTTTTTTTTTTTTTTTTTTGGTTCTGAGGATTAAGCCCAGGACCTTCACAATGGACTACATCCCTGGTCCTCTTTTGCTTTGGGGACAGTCTTAAACTTGTGACCTTCCTGTCGTCTTTGCTTCCCAGAAGGCTGGGATAACAGGTGTGTGCCACTATGCTTGTCTTAAACAATTTTTGGAAGGTTACAATAATGATGTAATTACAGACCTGTTCCATGATCTCTGTGTATATCCATATATCCTTAGGGTAGATTCTCTCAAAAGGCATTTTGTAACAAAAGGCATATATACCTCTAGGACATTTGAATTCTTTTCTCAGTGCAATAGGCAGTGTATTGACCTCATAAGATATTTGACCTGCCAAACTGATTTCCCAAAAGACTATATTTTATCAATTTACTCTCAACAGCAGTTTCTAAAGAGTGGCTTCCTTCCTTCCTTTTTTTTTTTCTTTCCTGTTTTTGAGACAGAGTCTCCATATGTATTTCGGGCTGAACTTGAACTAAGTGGCTTATGCTGACCTCAAACTTGTGGCAATCCTGCTTCAGCCCCCTAGGAGACGGGAGTATAGGAATGGGCCATCACACTCAGCTCACACATGAATTCTTCCATGTCAATTTTAGAATTCCTTTAGCAAGACTGCCAGCAGTTCTGCTGTATCAAATGGAGGCACAACTGACAAAAATACTGTCTTCACCCAAATCTGCATGCCTTCCAATTTAGTAAAGTCTTTTTTGTATCAGATTTCTCAGTAGTTTTCATAATTTTGTTTCTTGTACAATATTGTTGACTTTTTGAGACCAGGTCTAACTTTTAGTAGTATAGGCTGGCCTCGAGTTATTGGCAATCCTGACTTAGCCTCTCGAGTGATCAGAATACAGACACGTACCATGATGCCCAGTTGGTACTGATTTTGAGAAAATACTACCATTAGATTTTAAAATTACTGATGTCTATGGAAATTAGTAATTTTTGTATACTTATTGCATGACAAAATGCTTTCTTAGATTATTTTGTCAGCTCTAAACTTTATAATTGGTCCTCTACTTTTTTCCCCCTAGCTTCAGATATGGGTTTAAAGTAGTGCTTTGAAAGTTTTCAGCCAGGCGTGGTGGTACACGTCTGTAACTTCAGCACTTGGGAGGCTGAGGCAGGAGGATCCCTGTGAGTTCAAGGCCAGCCTGTGCTACATAGTGAGATCCTGTCTCAAAAAGTATAGAGTTGTTTGCTTTTCCAACTCTTTGCAGGGGGGCAGGGGTAGTGGGAACTGACCTCACACTTGCCAGGCAGGCACTGTGACAGAGCTGAATGCACAGCCCTAAGATCTCTCTTGTTGTGCTAACTTAGCCTCTATAGGAATTCAGGAATTCTCTCAAGATGAGTGTTTCTTATTAGCTCTTGCAAAGAGTAAGAACTCTAATTAGAACTCCTTGAGTCACCTACTGATATGTGAACTAAAAAGTATGGCTTCTGAGAAGGAATATATAGTTCTGTCCTCACTCTTTAAAAATTTTTTTATTGTTTTGCGTGGTGGGAATTAAATCAGGGCTATATACATGATAGACAAGTGCTTTACTGTTGAGCTATACCACTAGCCCTCCTCAGCCTTTTATTTTATTTATTTTGAGACAGTCTTGCTATAGTTTGTGCTAGCCTTGAACTACGTAGCCCAGTTTGGCCTCAAACTCAGGGATCATCCTGCCTCAGCTTCCTAAGTGCTGGGTTTACAGGTGTGAGCCACCACGCCCGGTCATTCTCAGCCTTTTAAAGGAAATAACCATGCTGTCTTCAAATTTGTAATTCAGTAAGTCCTCGAGTTCCATTCTGTGAGAACATTCTTAAACTGGATTTGTGCCAAAGCTCAACAAATTGAGTCTCACACTGTATTTTCAGTTTTGTTTTCTGTGGCTGTTGCTTTGTGCTTCCTAGCAGTCCACTCCACGCCACTGCTTTTCCTCTTGCTTCCGGATACCAATCGAGCTCTGCACCGTAGTGCACTGTTGCACTGTACACTCAGCAGCGCAGCTGTGCCCAGGCCTGACAGACGTGCGCACTGCTTCTGCGCTTTGTCTGCATCTACAAATGTTCCTTATGTGTGGCCTGTTCATATCTGTGAAGGTTCACAACTCAGATGTTCAGGAGTTGGGGACTTACTGTCCATGTATTTCGGAAAACTTTTTCAGTAACTTCACAATTAGTGGTTCCTATGGATTTTCTGCTTTCTCCTTAATTTCTAAACTTATATTTTTTATAAAATAACTTCAGATTAGTATGAATTGTAATATTAATTCTTCAAATAGCTTCCACATCTGTTGTTTTGTTCATGATTTATTCAATTAACAGGTAATGGGTATTTTCTGTACAGTAGATGTTGTTTGGTCTGGGAACTTTGTGTTAGATAAGAGTATCATCCCTGCCTTCATAAAGTATAATCTAGTGACAGATCTATAGTAAACGTATCTTTACAAACTTTGATATTTCTAAAGAAATGTGTTCCGATAGGATCCTATAATGGGGGCTTTACTTACATCAAGGAAAGAGGTTTCTGTTGTTGGGTTTTTGTTTTTTGGAGACAGGGCCTCACTTTGTAGTGCAGGCTGACGCTGGAACTCACGATGTACCCCAGGCTGGCCTCAAACTCTTGGTGACCCTCCTGCCTCAGCCTTCCAGGTGTTGGAATTACAGGCGTGTGCAACCACGCCCAGCCTGGAAAATAGGTTCCTAAGGTCTTCTATAGAGAAGTGAAATTTAAGTTATGATCCACATGATGAATGGGCATTAACCAAGTAGCGCAGACAGAAAAATGTTTTTGGTAGAAGAAATAATGTGTGAAGAGGTTAAGAAGGGAAAATGCTGGTCCTATTTTGGGAACTAAAGGACAGCCAATGGGTCTGATAACAGTAATATGAATGTGTTTAGAAGGACAGTAAAGTTGGCAGGAGCCAGATCATGTCAGACCATGGTTTATGGATCTTCTCTTGCCCCCAGGGGTTGAACCCAGGGCCTTCACACTGCGTCACCTCCCTAGACCATCTTTTTTGTTTTGTTTTGTCTTTTTCGTTTTTATCGGTACCAGGGATCGAACTCACGACTGCCTGCTTACAAGGCAGGCGCTTATGCCGCTGAGCTAAATCCCCAGCCCCCCCTAGACCATCTTTTGAGATGATCTCACTAAGTTGCCCATGCTGGGCTCAAATTGTGACCTTTCACTTAGTCTCCCAGCATGATGGGGTGACAGGTATGCATCACCAAGACCAGTTAATTTGTTTTCCTCCAGATCAATGGAATGCTACTAAATTTTGATCAAGTAAGTGAATGTTAAGAGTTTGTATGTTTAGAAAATCATTCTGGCTACATTATGGAAGTAAAAGGGGACAAGGCTAAGATTAGGGGGTTTAATTAAGAGGTATTTTGATTTTTCACATAAAAACTAAGCAGGGCCTGGGTGGCAAATGTGGAGATAGAAAACAATCATTTAAGGGCCAGGACTTTAGTTCAGCAGCATAAGCGCTCACTTGATAAGCATGAGGTTGTGAGTTTGATCCCCAGTACCCCCAAAAAAGAGGGGAACAATCATTTAAGATGTATTTTGGAAACACAAAGTCAATTTAAAAAAATCAAAAGAAATTGGATAGAAATTTCTCCAGGGGTCAGGCATAGTGGTGCACAGTTATAATCCTAGCTACTTGAAGGGCCGAAGCAGAAGGATCTTAGAGGTTTGAAGCCAACCAGGTAACATAGCAAGGACTTATCTTTAAAAAACAAAGTTTTTCCAGAGAAGATATGTACATGGTTAACAAGCACATAAAAAAAATGCCCAAGACTGGACATGATGGTACAGGCTTGTAATCCCAACACTCTGGGAAGCTAAGGAAGGATTACAAATTTGAGCTGAGCCTGAACAATTTAGGAAGACACTGCCAAAAAAACAGGCTATGGATACAGCTGAATGTGAAGCCCTTGGGTTCATCCCCTAGTAACATGTGCATGCACACATGCGCGTATGCACACATGCGCGTATGCGCACACACGAACTCCCCAAATCGTTAATCATTAGGGAGATGCAAATTGAGCCACACAATAAAATACTATTTTACACCCATTATTAAAAAACAAAAAATAACAAATGTTGACAAGAATGTTGAATAAGTGAAGCTGTTATCCACTGTGGATGAGAATGTAGAATAGTGCCACCGCTATGATAAGGGGCTGCTTCCTCAAAAAGTAAGATATAGACTTACTATATGACCTAGCTGTTCTACTCCTAGATGTGGACCCAAAATATTGAAAGCAGGGCCTGATATATTTGTATATCTGTGATCATAGTTGCATTTTTCATAACAACCAAAATGAGGGTGCAACCCAAATGTTCATGAACAGATATTATAATGAACAGATATATTATAATGTGGTATATACATAAAATGGAGTATTATTCAGCCTTAAAAAGAAGGAAATTCTGACACATGCTATAATATGAAAATTGGGGACTGAAATAAGCTTGTCACAAACAGACAAATACTGCATGATTCCACTTTTATGAGTCATACAAAGAAAGGTGGTTCACAGTGACTAGGGTTGTTGGGAAAACAAGGAATCACTGTTTAGTGGGTATAGCATCCTGGAGATTGAGCAATGAGAATGTAGTTAACTAAAGATATATATACTTGAAAATGGTTATAATGAGCTCAGCCTGGTGGCACATGCCTGTAATCCCAGCATTTGACAGGCAGAGATAAGAAGATCATCATGCATTCGAGGCCAGCCTGGGGTACACAGTCCAAAGGCTAGCTTGACCTACAGTTAAACCCCATCTCCAAAAAGAGAAAACCCCCACCTAAACCGCACACATACATGTAAAAAAATGGCAATAATGAAGACAGGTATAATCGTACATGCCTATAATCCCAGCATTCTGGGAGGCTGAAGCAGGAGGATCCCAAACTCAAGCCCACACTGGACAATTTAACAAGACCCTGTTCCAAAATTAGCAAAACCTTAAAAGGGTAAAAATGATAAGTTTTATGTGTATTTTACTTCAATTTAAAAACAAAAACAAAAAAAAATATCCTGAACATGGGCCTGGGGATTTAGCTCAGTGGCATAAGCACCTGCCTTGCAAGCAGGCAGTCCTGAGTTTGATCCCTGGTACAGATAAAAACGAAAAAGACAAAAAAAAAAAAAATTCCTGAACAATAAAAAGCTGTTTTGTAGCTGGGTAGGGATGGTAGACAAATATGGACTTGTAATGTTAGCACTAGGAGGGTAAGGCAGCGGAAAGCCATGAGTTCAAGGTCAGCCTGAACAAAACAGTAAGACCCTGCCCCAAAAAAGCCTATCAGTCAAGCAAGTTGTTCTGTAGTGGTTGTAATTACTGAGGCCTCTTGGTTGCAAGTGATAGAATTCCAATTTAAACCAGCTTAATGTCTACATTTACTAGCTCATGGAGTCTGAGGAAAAGCTGAACAAACCATGAGTGGGCGGGAATATGGAGCTTCAGGAACAACTGGAACCAGGCACTTGACAGCTTCCAAGCCGTTTCTCACCTCGGCTGCATTTTGCATGTCGGCTCCTTTTTCATTGCAGACCAGCTGGTTCCATATGGCAGGACGGGTGGCTGCTGACAGCTCCTGTTTTACATTTTATGGCTTCCACACTGGAGAGGGGTTTTCTTTCTTTCTCTCAGTTCAAAAAATTCTGGGTAAGGACTCTGGCCCATCTTGGTCCACGACCAGTGGCCAATGGTCTGAGATCATTTAAAATAACACTATGCAATAGTCAGAGGTATTTACAGAAATATGATAAAGAAACAGAATGAGATCTGTAACACAGTATCCATTATGTATAGTCATAACACATACATAGAACATTGTATATTATTCAAAGATACATATATATTCAAGAACATGCAACAAACACAGTAGAGTCACTACCTAAAGGAAAAACTAGAACATAAGTGGTAACTAAAATGCAGAGCAAAAAGATAAATGAAAAAGGCTTTATTAATGAGAGTATGAATAAAACAAGATGGCTAGCTCAATTCTTTGCTCCTGAGGGAAAATAAGCAGCAAAAGAGGGTGTCACAGAGGAAAAAAGAAAAAGCAGGGACTGGGCATATAGTTCAGCCGCACAGGGCTTGCCTGGCAAACATGAGGTCACAAGTTCGATCCTTAGTACCAAGCAACAATAACAAACCAAAAACTAGAAGTATTTTTGAATGGAAGTAAAGGGCAGTTTTCAAGAGAAGAAGACATGAATGCTGAGATGATTCCATATATATTCATTATGGAGACAGATACATAGTGACAATTAATCAAACATGAAGAATGAGGAAGATATTATAGGAAACTTCAGGGTTCTCGCATGCATGATGGTGTAATTTACTGAGATTTAAAACTGGTGAAAAAACAAGTATCTGGGAAGAAAATCAGATTTGATGAATTAAATTTGAATTGTTTATGAGACATCTAAAAGGATGTCCTCATTTTTTGCCACAAATGTGTCTACTTTATTGTCTTTTCCTACATTCCTTGAATGCTTAGTATGTTTTCTCCTTTTTGGGGGGTGGGTGGGTACTGGGGGTCAAACCCAGGGCTTTATGCATGTTAGGCAAGCACTCTACCACTAATTACACCAATGCCCTTTCTTAATCCTCTTATTTTCAGTACTGGGGACTGACTACAGGGCCTTTGCACAGTTATAGCTCTGGCACTTTAAAGGTTTTTTTTCTTAATTTTTGAAAGATTTTTACCAATATGCTGTGTTGTCCAGGCTAGGCTCAAACATGTGATCCTGCTGCCTCAGTCTCCCAGTGTTGAGATTACTGGCATGCACATCTGGCTTGCCCCTATTATTTTTTAATATTAAAAGTACTTACAGCTACAAAAAAATGTTCCTGAGCACTGATTAGAGATGTATCATAGATTTTTTTTGCTACTGAAGATTGAGTCCAGGGCTTTCACACTGAGCCATATCCTCAGCCCTTAGGTATGTACCACCAATCTGTCTCATTTTAGATTACAAAACAAACGACGTATTGTTTGGTCATATACTATGTAACCAAATACCTATTTTAGGAATTTAAAATGTTACATTTGTACATAAAGCCTGTACTCTCTACTATCAAGTTCCCTCTCTTCTACAAAGTTATTTTTAAATGTTTGATATGTACTTTCTAAACTTTTAAAATGTATTTATATAAAAATTCACATATACACTAAATGGTTTTGCTGTGCACATAATCAAACTATACATTGACCTGCAAATAGCTTTCCAAAGGAAAAACACTTGCTAATAAATTTTGAGGAGAGTGTTATATCAATACATAGGATTTTTGGTTTTCTTGAGACAGGGTCTTACTATATATTCTAGGCTGGCCTACAACTCAGGATCCTCTTGCCTCAGCCTCCTGAATGCTAGATTTGCAGGCATTCACTACCATGGTCAGCTTGAATATAATTAGTTTTTAATGTTTCTTTCTGGTTCTCTCAAATCTGGAAATGGTTGCATTTGCTATGGCCACTTAAATCATTTCCCTTCTTTTGACCTGCTGCATCTTTGCACACTTCTTCTGACTTTATCTTTAATCTTCTAAAGGTGAAGTGTCTGCCATATAAGAGGAACTAAAAGAATTCCATCAGGTTGTTCAAATTTCTCATACTTAACTAAGGAATTTTTTTTTGTGTACTGGGGATCGAACTCATGACCTCATGCTTGCCAGGCAGGCACTTATGCCTCTGAGCTAAATCCCCAGCCCACTAAGGAATTATTGATAAGTACTATTTGAGGGTCCAATGGACTGTGTAAGAGTAGGAAACAGCAACTGAAGGAGGCAGGCAGCTTTGGGAGAAGCAGTTTCCCACACCATCACTTTTAATAGTCATGGTCAAAAGGGTAAAGTCTTCTGGTCGAGTTAAATTTTATTTATTTATAGAAGTGTTAGGAATGAAAAAAAAAAGCCTTGAACATGAAGGGCAAAAGCTCTTGTCAATAAGCCACCACCCCAACCCTTGGTGTGGTTAATTTTTTTGTTTCTGTTTTTGAGACATGGTCTCACTATGTAATGCAAATTTGCCTTGAACTTACTATGGAGCCCAGGCTGGCTTCAAACTCGAGGCCATCCTCTTGCCTTAGCCTCCAGAGTGCTGGGATTACAGGTATGCACCTTGACATCCAGCACCGAAGTTAAATTTCAAAGGTGGGAAGAAAGAAAAAAAAAATCAACCTGCGATCTAGAACAGTAATTTTTTCAAGAATGCACAATGATTCAGAAATTCCCAAATCGACATATAATACCCCCTGGTTTACTTCCACACAACCCCTCTGAGCACGAGTCAACGTGTGTGTGTGTGTGTGTGTGTGTGTGTGTGTGTGTGTGACAGAGAGAGAGAAAGATTGATTTAATTCAGAAAGCTTGTGGATGTAGTTTGTAATAAGAAAAAAAAAAAAAAAAGACTGATTCTGTGGTACCAGTGACTGTCATCCAAGGCAATTTACCTCATCCGTTCTCCAAGATTCAGATTCCTTTTCTTAAAATTGTAGTCAGTTTCTCTTACAAAGATGTTTTAAGGTCCCCAAACAAAAGCCTCGAGCTATGGTGAGGAGATCTTGGCCTAAAACGACCGGAGGCGGCCAAATGGTTGGGTGTCTCCACCAGCCCGACACCTAGATCAACACAAACACCAGTGTCCTCGATCGCCACTACCGCAGAATGACCGCGAATGCCCACCTGACGACCAGGGTTCGTCTCACCTTCTCACCTCACCTCACCTCACCTCACCGGCGCCGCGCTTCCACCTCCAGCCTCAGCACACCTTTCTCGATTACACTTCTGCGCACGCGCAGCGCCCGCCTCAAGCACCAGCAGCTCGCGCTCTGGCATTGCCTCTCTCGAACGTGCGTTTAGCGCTTTTCCTCCCAGTGCGGCCACCGTCGTTTGGGGAGGGGAGGAGAAAAGGGGCGGGGAAAAGGGTGGGAGTGGGTGAACGCGCGTCTCCAGTCTGTCCGTCGGGGTTTCCTGGCTGCGCGCGACGGTGGCGAAGTCGAGGCAGCTGTAGTAGCAGCCGCGAAGATGGCGGAGGGATTGGAGCGTGTGCGAATCTCTGCGTCGGAGCTGCGAGGGATCCTGGCCACTCTGGCTCCGCAGGCCGGGAGCAGAGGTGAGTCGCACCGCCCAGCTCCTGGGCTGGGCCTTTGCGCCCCGCCTCCTTGGCCTCCTCCCCGCCCCATCCGTGGCGCTCCCGAGCCCCCGCCCTTTCCCCCAACATTGGGGGCGGGAGCTGCTGGCAGTCCCCTATCTACCCTACCAGGTAGAAGGCCGGTGCGGGCTCTGGCTCGAGCTTACCCGCTTCTGGAGAGTCTTCCTGAGTTCCTGTCTCTACCCTCTTTCTCATCGCGACGTTACTGTTCCTTTTGGCCCTAGCTCCCTCAAATCAGCCCGTGGATTCCTAGTCGTCGGGAGGCGCAAACAGCAATGGGGTCTGGTGGGGGCCCTGGGCTTTATTATTCTCGAGGGAGCCCTCCGCGGGTCTGCCCTCCTCAGCTGATAGGCCTCGGAGCGAAGGGGCTGGGGTAACTGAGGAGAAGGTGTAATGGACTGGGACTTTCTTGCTGAACTTTTCCTTTACCGCAGGCTTCTGAAAGTTGCGCCACTGAAGTGATCTGGGACCTCATAGAGCTGACTAACTTTGATTTGACCTTAGCACGTGGGAGGGTTTTTTGTTTTGTTTTGTTTTTTTCCTTTTGACCAAGGAAGTTTCAGTTTGTCAGTTAAATTCTGTAGCCACATCAGAAAAGCTCCAAGAAAGTCTTGTGTCTCATCTCCCCTTTGTTAGGCTGTAGAGTTGTGTAGAACGGTAGGTATGATAGGTTCCTTCACTAGTTATGTAGTAGCAGTCTGTGAGGCTGGTTTTCATCCGTAAATTAAATTAGATCCAGGCTGTTTGCTTCTATAGGATCTCTTTTAAAAAGAAAAAAAAAAAAAAAGCAGTAATATCTCTCTTAGCCTTTTCTTTCTCCCCACAAACCTAAGTTAAAAAGATTATGACGGTTCTGAGGTTAAACTGCTTTATTTTTATTCATGCTTGGAGACTCCTAAACTTCCGGAAGTATTGAAGCACTATCTTAAACTTTAGTTTCTTTTGCTTTTTTGTTATACCTACAAAAAATGTGTATAAGTACTAGAGCATACACCTGCTGGGGGCTTGTTGGCATTTGTGTTTATAGTATATAATTCTAGGGTTTTATGTAAAATTTTATTTTGAGTACTTGATAATATCCTCATAAATTCCTATCACATTCCTACTGAAATGCTGATGGGTAACTTAGGTAGTCTTCCTCTCTCTCTCTTTGTTTTTGTTATTATTATTATTTTTTTTTTAATAAGGCTTCACTGTATAGCTCAGGCTGGACTTGAACTCATTTTGTACCTCAGGCTGACTTTAAATTCGTGGAGATCCTCTTGTTTCAACTTCTCAGGTGTTAGAATCACAAGTGTGTGACACTGCACCTGGCAGTAGTCTTTCTCTTAATGAATACTTATAAAATATATATACCTGTTTGTCATTCAGTAAGTTTGTGGAACTTGGAGAATGGTTTATAAAGTCTTATCCTCGTTATTCTTGAGTATCTCAAACCTTGGGATTTTCAGAGTGTGTAATAATCTTTGCATTAGTGTCTAGGGAAAGCTCTTCTATGGAACTTTTTTTCTTCTCATATTCTATCATCATAGTAGCATTTAGTCTCAGTATTCTAATGATTATAGTTTGAGCAATTTTTTTTTTGAAACAGCTCTGCTAGCTGCTGTTACAGAGTTGGTGAGGATGAGTAGAGCTGGAGAACAAAAAAGGAACTGCTTCCTGTTTGCTTCAGTAGGAAGTATGTGATTGGGTAATTTGTATCCTAAAGAAGAGAATTGTCTTGGCCAAGTTCACAGACTAGAGTTGAAATTTTTTTTGTTCAGAGATGTTCAAGACACACCTTTCTTTTTCTCGATTTGTTTTCCTTTTGCAGTGCAATGGATCAAACCTCATGCTTGTGTACCCTACTACTTGTGTATACCCTAGTAATATGTTAGAGTTAGTTTGGTACGAGTAGTGTAGAATGATTATAATCCTGGATACTCAGGAGACTAAGTCAGCAGTATCCCAAGTTTGAGGTTAGGTGGGACAGTTTAAGGGTACTCTGTTTTAAAATAAGAAGGGTTGAAAAAAAATATAAGGGCTGGGGATATAGCTCAATAATAGAGCACTTGCCTAGCATAAATGAGGCTCTGGGTTCAAACCCCACTACTATCGCATAAGTGAGGCTTATGTGTAAAACCCCAGTACCATGCACATATGCACACATACTTAAACCCAGGATTTAGCTACCCTGGCTTTTGTAGAAGAAATAGAAGTAGAAGAAAAGTCTGAAATGGATTCAGAGACTTTATAGATAGAAAATAGTGTAATGCTGTAAATGTTAGAGATCTTTTATTGCAATAATAAGACAGTTTGGAGTCTTGGGAATCTGAACATAAATACGACTTGGGTGACTCAAGAAAACACAGGGTCCCCCCCTCCCCCATTTTCCTAGCCTATGTATAGGCAGCTCTATGCAATTAAGTTCTTGCCTTGCCAGTTCCTGAACAAATACTATAAATCCCAAATTTCTGCTTTTGTAGAAACCTTCCTTGACTACCCCTGTTAAATTTGGATATGTATTCTTGCATGACTTCCTGTTACTTAATGAAAATGACAGTTTTCCTCCTACTTCCTCTTTTATTCTTTTTTTCTACTTTTTCCTCCTCAATCTTATCCCCAATATAACAGAAAACATGAAGGAATTAAAGGAGCCCAGGCAGCGCAAAGATAACAGGCGCCCAGATCTGGAAATTTATAAGCCTGGTCTTTCTCGACTAAGGAACAGACCTAAAGTCAAGGAATCCTCTGGGAGTGAGGAATTTAAGGATGAACTTATTAATGTCAGAGATTCTTCTGCTGTTGGCAATGGTACACAGCTCATTAAAGATGCCTGCAAGAAATTGGACAGCCAACAACAAAATGGTCCTGTAGACCCAGAAAATAATCAGAGACAGGAAACCTTTCATAGGACTGGTGGACAAGAGGATCGAAGTCTAAAAGTCAGCAAAAGAACAAAGAAACCAGACCTTCAGATCTACCAGCCAGGACGACGTTTGCAGGCTGTTAACAAAGAATCAGCTAGCCAAATAGATGAGGAAGAGATCCTTAATCAGGTAGAACAACTAAGAGTAGTAGAAGATGAATGTAGGGGAAAAGTTGTGAAAGAGGAAGTTGTGAATAAACCAGACAAAATTGAGACAGAAAAGAGCCAAAACAGTGACAGAATAAAGACTTCAAAGGGAGAAAAAGGGAAAAGGATTGAAAAAGGGGAGGGGACAAAGAAAGTAAATGATGACATGGCCCAGGGGAAGCTGGGTTCTGCAAAGCGCTACTCACGCTCAGACAAACGAAGGAACCGATACCGAACTTGCAGTACTAGCTCGGCTGGTAGTAACAACAGTGCTGAGGGAGCTGGCTTGACGGATAATGGATGCCGCCGCCGCAGGCAGGAGCGGACCAAGGAGAGGCCAAGATTGAAGAAGCAAGTATCTCTGTCCTCAACTGATTCCTTAGATGATGACAGAATGGATGAGCCTGATGAATTGGAGTCCAAGAGGAGCTTAGAAAAGAGGAAACATTCAGAAAAAAACTGGTCTGGCCATGGGGAGGGTGAACAGAAAAGTAATGGTAAAGAAAATCGAAGCACTCTTCATGTCACTTTTGATGCAGAAACCAGGAACAAAGACTCCTCCATGGTGAGGTCAGCCAGGGAAGATGTAGATAGGATAAAGCCTGACAAAAGCCTGAGCAGTGAGGGCAGAGGTTCTGAGAAGCAGGAATCCAAAAACCCAAAACAAGAACTTCGGGGTCCAGGTCGTGGGATTCTGATTCTACCTGCCTGTACTACTTTGTCTGTTAATTCAGCAGGCTCTCCAGAATCTACACCTTTGGGACCGCGGCTTTTATTTGGATCTGGTAGTAAGGGATCTCGGAGTTGGGGCCGTGGAGGCACTACCCGCCGACTGTGGGACCCAAATAATCCTGATCAGAAACCTGCTCTAAAGAGCCAGACACCCCAGCTACATTTCTTGGACACTGATGATGAAGTCAGCCCTACGTCTTGGAGTGACTCACGTCAGGCCCAAGCATCTTACTATAAGTTTCAAAATTCTGACAACCCCTATTATTACCCTCGGACACCTGGCCCTGCTTCCCAGTATCCCTATACAGGCTATAACCCCCTACAGTATTCAGTAGGCCCTACGAATGGTATGTTCCCAGGGCCTTACTACCCAGGCTACCCAACTCCACCAGGACAGTATGTATGTAGCCCACTCTCTGCCAGCACCATGAGTCCTGAGGAGATAGAGCAGCATGTGAGGAACATGCAGCAACAGGAGTTACACAGGCTTCTCCGGGTGGCTGACAACCAGGAACTGCAGCTCAGTAACCTGCTTTCCAGGGATCGCATCAGTACTGAGGGGATGGAGAAGATGACTCAACTCAGGTATGGTGTGTTCTATTCTGGGTAGAGGGAAATGGGGATGAGGTAGAAGTTGTATACGCTCCTATGACTGAGGAAGGTAGACACTTCTTAGGTGAGCCACAATATTATTTCCCTTTTTACATTAATATCCTCTTTCACCCAGGAGACTGACAATCAAAACTAGAGCCCTGTGTATGTTGGTCAACCACTTAATACCAAGCTGCTGCCACGTTGATTTTTGTAGGTGAGGGTTTGTTAGTTAAAGAACAGAAGCCTTGTTTTAGTCTTAGAAATGAGTGTGCATTCTATTTTTCCTTTAAGAAAAAAATCTTTAAGGAAATATGGAATGCTGAAAAGGAAAGACTCTTAAATGCTAAGAAATAAACATGTAACTTATAGTGAAATTTTATTTCAACTGTTTTTAGGTAGGGACATATGGGGAAGCACTACTTTTTAGACTTAACTATTTTGTTTTGTTTTGGTACTGGGGATTGAACTCACAACCTTGCAGTTGGCAGGCAGGTACTTGTGCCACTGAGCTAAACCTCCAACCCAAGATTTTATAAACTACCTTTATAATGACATTTTGCTGTGTAGGATGGAAACCAGCTGGATTTGTATTTGGATATGATACTTGGTCATATTGTGGCTTTCCTTCCAGGCAAGGTAGTTAATTTGCAGGAAACTCAGATCTTGGGTCTTCTTGTGGTCTATATGGAGCTAGAAATTGCATGTATTTTATTTCAGAGCTGAATTGCTGCAGCTGTATGAACGTTGTATTCTATTAGATATTGAGTTCTCTGATAATCAGAATGTGGATCAGATCCTGTGGAAGAATGCTTTCTATCAGGTGATTGAGAAGTTCCGGCAGCTTCTCAAGGATCCAAATGTTGACAACCCAGAACAGATTCGAAATAGACTTTTGGAACTTTTGGATGAGGTAAGCCATTATTTTTCAGTCCTCAGGATAAAAGCTTTAGCATCTGTTAGTTGTAATGAGTTTCTATCACTGAAAATACTATGTTTTAGAACATAGCATTGACAAAATACATTCTTCTTGAATTTAGGTCTGGTCTACTGTGTTACTTCCTTAGGACTGTAAATTATCATTGGACTTAGTTTTAAGCTTGAAAGCTTGGTCTGAGTGTGGGGAAGAGAATATGTGTGTGTATGCTCATATTTTTAAAACTATGGAGAGGCTTATACTGTGAATTTGTTTTGTGCTCAAGTGGTGACTACTAAATGTTGTATGTGCCTCCCTTTGCATAGAATATCTGAGAACTGGGAACTGTGAAAAGATCATTTGCCCCAGGTTCTGGTGGGTTGGTTGGATCAAGAATCAATTGATCGGGGCTGGGGATTTCGCTCAGCAGCATAAGCACCTGCCTTGCAAGCAGACAGTCGTGAGTTCGATCCCCGGTACTGGAAAAAAAAAAAAAGAATGGATTGATCCCACTAGGTTTTACTTTTTTTTTTCTTCTTTATAGGGTAGTGACTTCTTTGATAGTTTGCTTCAGAAGCTGCAGGTTACTTACAAGTTCAAACTGGAGGACTACATGGACGGTCTTGCCGTTCGTAGCAAGCCATTACGCAAGACAGTAAGCCAGCTTGCTTTCTTTTTGTTTCACTGGTTTTGGGGATTAAACCTAGGGCTTTGTACATTCTAGGCAAGTGTTCTAACACTGAGCTACATCTCCAGTCCCTTTATCCCCTTTTTTTTTTTGACACAGTCTTACTAAATTGTCCAGACTAGCCTTGAATTTCCTCTTTCAGCCTCCCGAGTAGCTGAGATTATAGATATTTTAATATTACCATGCCCAACTCAACTTCTTTCTTTATCTTAATGTATTTATCCATTTAGTAAGCATTTATTAGTGCAGTTGTGTGCTAGACAGTGATGAGGACACATCAGTGAAAGATAGTCCACTAGGAAATAGACAGGTGAAACCAGCAATTGTGTCATAAGTATTATGCACATAGAGGTTTGCCAAAACAATGTGTATATACTTCAGGAAAAGAAAAACTGGTATAAATATTTCAATACAAAATTTATTGAGACATCATGAGATTAATACAAGTTGGCCTTGAATTTGTGGTGATCCTCTTGCTTTAGCTTTCTGAGTGTTTGTATTACAGGGGTATACTACCACATCTGGCTTGTTCTTGTCACTTTCTAAGGCAGTACTGAAAACTTTTTTTTTTTTTTTTAAATCGGTACCAGGGGTGGAACTCACAACTGTGCCCTTGTAAGGCAGGCACTTTTGCTGCTAAGCTAAATCCCCAGCCACTTTTTGTGTGTGTGTTTTTGTGACAGTTTCACTATGTACTTCAGGCTAGCCTTGATCTTTGTAACTCAGGCAGCTGGAAGACCTCTTTTTTGAGTGTCTTTAATTGTGCTGTAGTTGCCTTGATGTTCTGAATGGATAAAAATATTTACTTTTGATAATTATGTTGAATTTAAGAAACAGCCAGAAGTTATACTGTGCCAGAGCCTGTGAATTAGGTGGATGAAAAACATGACAGTGTAATGTTTTTATTAGGCATAAATTACCAGAAACATTTGTTCAGTGAGGGACGATCAAAAAATTGAATTAATAGTTAAATAAAAATATTAATACAGTAAAAGACAGGTTGCCCTAAAAACTTAAGAAAATACTCCTCATACAGAACATAGTTATCCCATCAATCTTGCCAGTGAATCTTTTACTGTCATAAATTGTTTTAATCATTCATTGTATTTTTTGATCACTCCTCAAAGAGCCAAATGATGTGGAGGCTAAGGTTGGAGGCATGAAAAGTAGATCAGTAGATTAGTAGATGTTGAACCTTTTAGAGCCTTCAATAATATGAATACCCTAGTGAGGTCTACCACCATTGATCTAGATCCTTCTCCAGTTTGTGGTCTGGGGAGGGGTTGCAAAGGAAGAGGTCAGTTCAGATTTGGATATACCTAGGTGAGGTATCTAATAGAAACTTGAAAATGAACAGATGAATCTTTTGATGTGTTTGAAATTTAGAAGAAAGAGCTAAACTGGTGACAGATTCAAGAGTCATTGCTGTGTAAGTGGTAGTTGAAGCAGAAATTAGAATACTTGAAAGGCTAGCTAGACAGGAGGCTCTAGGTCGGGAGTGTTGATAAAATTGTCAAGTACTACAGAGTTTTCAGATGTTAAGATTACTAAGGAGTGTCAATTGTAAAATAACTCACCAAGAGTTATTTTAGCTGGAGAGCATAAAAGCCAGATTGTAGCAGAGAGAGGTGAGGCAATAGAGATGAGAGCCTAATATAGACAAGACTTTTGACTGTGAAAGCAAGGAGAGAATATTGCTAAAAGAGAGTTAAGAGAATTTTTTTGCTTTTGTTTAGGTGTTTATTTTCTTATTTATTTGTAGCAGGAAATCAAAATGAGGGCCTTGCTAGACAAGCTTTCTGCCCTTGAACTCTACCCTTATTCCTTGTTTTTGTTTTTAATGATGAGAGAGACTTGTGGAATGTTTAAAGATTTATTAGAGAATGGAATATGATTGATGGAGCAAAGACTTCCTCTTGCTCCTTAGATTTTGTTTCAAGATGCTATGGATCATCCTAGGACCCTAAGCATACTAGGCAAGTGCTGTACCTCTAAGCTACACCCATAACCCTCTCTTGATATTTCTGATGAATTGTTATGTACACACACTTTTTTTTTTTTCTTTTTTATTGGTACCAGGGATCGAACTCACAACCACACACTTGCAAGGCAGGCGCATATGCCGCTGAGCTAAATCCCGAGCCTCTGTACACGCACTCTTGCTACAAGTACTTGTTGAGCCCCTTCTACATGGCAGGTGCCATTCTAGGCAGAGGCAGTTTTTAGAGTTTAGAATTTGTTTGAGGGTAAGTACAGATATTGGATGAGCACTTACTGATTAATCAGTTTTGAAAAGTGTGTTGTAAGGGGTTTGCCTGACATAAAGATCGTGGATTACTAAGGAAATCACAGCTAAGCTGAGGTTGAAGACTTGAGACAGTGGTCAGGTGAAGGTGTCTGGGAAGATGGAAGAAGAGCAGGATTCTAGGGAGAGGGAACAGTGTAATTTAAGATCCTGAAGTGGGAAAAATGTATTAGGGCAACTGACCTGACTGAGGCACAAAGAGTGAACAGAAGCAGGACTCAGTCCTGAGACTGATAGTCTTTGAAAGAGTTTGCTTGTAAATTTCACCTCATTAAGGTGGTAAAGTGGGGCTGGGGATTTAGTTCAGCAGCATAAGCACCTGCTTTGCAAGCAGGCAGTTGTGAGTTCGATTCCCGGTACCGGTAAATAGTTAAAAAAAAAAAAAAAAAAGGTAGTAAAGTGGCTATAGTATGATGCCATAACATTTTTTTTCTTTGTCAGTTAAATTCCTAAGGTTCTTTGATGTTTGTTCATAGAAGAAAGTGGAATACTGAGGACCCTGAGGCTATATATAACTTTCCCGGGGCATAATTTGAGTAGTAAGTGAGCTTTCCTGAGGCATAAGTATCTACTTTTCAATGAAGTTTTGTTCTTTATTTGGTGAGATGCTGTCTTAGTTATTTTCTTGTTGCTGAGACAAAATATCCTATACAAGTTAAAGAAGGAAGGGTTATTTTAGCTCAGAGTTGTAGAGATTTCAGTCTATAATTGGCTGGCTACAAGGCTACCAGTGAGGTAGCGGGGTATGGCAGAGGAGAAACAGTCGATGGGCGGCAAGGCGGACAGAGGCAGCAAGGCTTCCTTCTTTCCCATTTTATTTCATCTAGGCTACAAGCTTATTAATTGGTGCTACCCACATCCAGGGTGAGTCTTCTGCCTGCAAGTCTTTTTTTTTTTTTAATCGGTACCCTTGCAGTGCAGGTGCTTATGCCGCTGAGCTAAATCCCCAGCCCCTCCTTCAGCAAGTTTTATCATTCAAACCTAGAACTGTGCTAACCCTATCAGCAGACCTATTCAGTATAACACATCCATGGTCCAGTTACTCCTAAAAGCCCCACTTAGAAATGTATGAGAATTTGGGAGCCACCTAGATAAAAGTCATAACAGATGTTAATTTGTGTGTATGTGTATGTAGAGATGGAATGAATTAGATGTTTTAAAGTAGTGTGTTGAGGGAGTCTTTTTTTTTTTTTTTTGAGTATGTATTGGAATTGTTGGGTCCATTTTTTTTTTTAGTTCTTTTTTTTTTTTATTTTTATTTTTTTGTCTTTTTCCTTTTTATCGGTAGTGGGGATCGAACTCACAACTGCCTGCTTGCAAGGCAGGCACTTATGCCACTGAGCTAAATCCCCAGCCCTAGGTCCATTTTTTTTTCTCACTGAAGTGATAGGTGCCAAAGCTATCAGTGAGAAAACATTTATAGTATTATATAATACCTGTTATGTTATAGGTAATTGGTAAAGGGTAATTATTTTAGACAAAAGAAAACATAAGACACTAAAAGTATGGTGATAGACTATAACAATATCAAGGAAAGAACACTGTTTGAATTTTGTTTGTTTGTTTGTCTTTTTTCCTTTTTATCGGTACTGGGGATCGAACTCATGACTGCCTGCTTGCAAGGCAGGCGCTTATGCTGCTGAGCTAAATCCCCAGCCTCCACTGTTTGAATTTTTGTATATCACTTTATAGTTTCTAAAATGTTTCACGGTACTAAAGTTGAACCTGAGGTCTTTGTACTGAGCTATTTCCTCTGTTCTTTTATTTTGAGACAGAGTCTTGCTAAGTTGCCCAGAGTTGGGCTTGAACTTTGAGATTCAGAGTGCTTTAATTAAGATGTATGTCACACGTAGCTAATAGTATTTTCGTATTTCCTCCAATTACCCTTTACAACATGTGTTTTTATACTTAGATGAAGAAATTGGGTTCCAGGTACCTCAAGACTTCTTGATATCACACACTAATAGTCAGGTTTTAGAATATGCTGTTCTATTTGTTTGGGACTTCAAGTAAGAATCACCCCTGTCTCTTTTGCCACTATTTTCTCTCAGTAAATTTCTGTTAATACTGTTGACTTTCTTTGGTAGCCAGGGTTAGGTTAAAATTTTATACTTTTTGAAGTCTGTTAGTGCCTTATCAATACTGCTGTCATTTTGACCTCATCTCTATCCTTTGTTGAAGATAAGGTTTCTTGGGTACTCTGCTAACTGATTTTTCTTGGAAGGTAAAATATGCCTTGATCAGTGCTCAGCGATGTATGATTTGCCAAGGAGATATCGCCCGGTATCGGGAGCAAGCCAATGACACAGCAAACTATGGGAAAGCACGCAGGTACTTTTCCATCTCTATTATTATTATTACTCTTTCCATTAGCTAAACTCTGTTACACATTGGGCTACTTCCATATACATGTCCTACAAGTGTCCCTGTTGATTCCTTTAATCATACTTTACCACTCCAGGGTCACTTCCACCTCCACCTCAGTTTATGTCTTAAATAGGCTGTCAGGATGAATTGGGAAAGAGTTGATATGAAGGTAGCTTTTCTTTCCCATTTTACTCATAGATAAAAAGAAAGAAAACTCCAATAAAATTTTAAAGTATGTCAGTCGGTATAATAATGGTACATACTTTGTGCATTGTCGTCCCCAAATCATTCACCTGGAGCACAAGACAATGAAGGTAGATTTTCTTACTGTTTTTCTATTCTAGTTGGTACTTGAAGGCCCAGCACATTGCTCCCAAGAATGGGCGCCCCTACAACCAGTTGGCTTTGCTGGCAGTGTATACGGTAAGAGGTCCTGTGGACAGGGAAAGTATTTTTCAGGGGATTCTTTTTTTTTTTTTTTTTTTTTTTTTTTGGTACCAGGGATTGAATACATGACTGTGTGCTTGCAAGGCAGGCGCTTATGCCGCTGAGCTAAATCCCCAGCCCTTCAGGTAATTTCTTAAAACAATGAGTTTTGATAAGCAGTAGCTCTTAGATTTTGATTTCATCTGCTCACTGTGTCCCAAAGAATACTAACCCCCTTTGCCTCCCCTCACTTTGTTGCTTCTACTTCATCCATTTAGTTATCACAGCATTTAAGTTTTGGAGGGAGGCTTGTATTCCAGCCAAATAACACTTTGTTTCTGACCAAAGCTTCTGCTCTGAATCTTGTTATGCTTCCTTTCTCTCCCCTGTCCTGTTGATCTAGGCTATTAAAAGGAAGATATAGCTCAGTTTACCTCTTGTCCTTAAAGTTCTCACATAGCTCTCATAGCTTGCTTCTTTCCCCCAGATCTTACTATTCTTCACCTAAGATGTCTCCTTAGCAGAACCGCAGTAATCAGCTGATCTAGATCTTACAGCTCTCTAGATCTTACCAACTTCCTCTAAATGTGTCTCTAACAGAGAAATTGGCCTTGGGAGCTGAGAGGGTTTCAGGAAGGAAACTCCATTAAAGGGGAGAATGTGAGAGCCAGTTGTAGATACTAAACATGTTCTATGGGAAGCAGCTAACATGGAAGGAAGGAAAAAAGATTCTTGATGCCATAAAGTTCATTGCCCAAATAAGCAGTATTTGAGTTTCATATGTATATTCCCCCTTGTTCCATAAAAACTTTAAAGAAATACCTAATTATGGGTTGAATCAGTATAGTTGATTAAGTAATGTGGCTTAATGAAGCATTTTCTCTTTTTTTTTGGTACCGGGGATTGAACTCATGACCTCGCATTTGCCAGGTAAGCGCTTGTGCTGCTGAGCTAAATCCCTAGCCATGAAGCACTTTCTTCAGAATCTGTTGAGTCTTTCTTTTGACCTCTGTCCTGTTTTCTTGTGGTAGATATTTGAGACTTTTTCCATTTCTTTATAGTGTTACTTTTCTCTCCCCTTTCTCCTTAGCCACCTTCTCCTTATTCTGTTTTTCCTTTTCTTGCTTTTTTTCCCTACCTTTTCTTTGTAATTTTTTTTAATGAAATGTAAGTTTGCTTGTTTAGTTAGTTTTTGTTTGTTTTTGAGACAGGGTCTTGTTATACTGTTCAGGCTGGCCTCTAACTCACAGCAATTCTCCTACCTCAACCTGCCTAATGCTGGGGTTACAGGCGTGCACCACCAGCCACACCAGGCATCTCTACTGAGTCCTAAGTCATTTTCATCATCTGAAAGAAAGAAACAAACCCTGTAACTCCTGATTTCTCCACATACCTAGGGAAACCCATTGATCTGAGTTCTCTCTGTGCACATATACCAATTCCGGATGCCTCATATAAATGGAATCATACAACCTATAACCTTCAGGGTATGGTTTCTTTCAAGATTTAGCATAAATTTTTCAGAGTTCTTCCAAATTATAGCTGGCATGTATTTGTAGGTCTGTCTTTACCAAAGGTTGAACCTAGGTCCTTGCACATGCTAAAAAAGACCTCTATCATTGGCTATATCCCGGCCCTTTTAATTTGAGACAGAGTCTTGTTAAATTGCCCAGACTGACCTTGAGCTTGTGATTGTTCTGCCTCAGCCTCTCAAGTAGCTGGGATTAAATGCCTGCCCTACTGCATCCTGTTTACTTCATTTTTATGACTGAATAATATTTCATCCTGTGGCTATATAACCTAGTACATTTTGTTTGTTCATTCATTATTGATGAGCATTAGAGTTATTTCCACCTTTTAGCTGTGTTGAGTAGTGCTATGGAGATACACAGGCATTTGAGTACCTATTTTTATTTTTGTTGGAGTAGCATTGCTGGGTCATTTGTAATTCTCTGTTTAACTTTGTTTTTCTTTTTAACAGTTTCCTAAATGGTTTTCCCAGGTGTCTGCTGTTTTACATTTTTACAGCAATGTATAAGGATTTCAGTTTTTTTCTTTTGGTACTGGGGTGCCCTACCACTGAGCTTTTTTTTGTTTTGTTTTTTATTTTTAATTAAGATAGGGTCTTATGAAGTTGCCCAGATTAACCTCAAATTTGAGATAATTCCAAGTTAGCTCCCAAGTAGCTAAGGTACTGCCTTTTCCATATTCTTGCCAACATTTGTTATTTCCCTTTATTTTAATTTTTTTTTTATGACTAACCCAGTATGTGTAAAGTAGTATTTCATTTGTGAGGCTAATTCTTTCATCCATTTGGGGATCTTTTAAATTAATAAAATTGGTTTGGGGACACAGTTTTAAGTTTATAGAAAAATTGAGCATACATTCCCACTATACTCCTTCAACTTCTTCCGTCCCCACAGCTTCTGCTATTAACATCTTACCACTGTTGTGTCAGTGCTCTTTGGAAGCTGAGGCAGGAAAATTAGCACGAGTTAAGGCTACCCTAGACTATATAATGAGTTCATGACTGTGCAGCAAGAATTTGTCTCAAAGAACTAAAAGCAAAACAAAAAATCTTGAATTGGGGTACATTTGTTAAAATTGATAGGCCAGTATTGATACATTACACATTCTATAGGTTTTTGTATTATTAGTTTTGTCATTGCCAGGACAAAATACCTTATTCCTGAAGTTAAAGGACGAAAGTATTGTGGTGCAGAGTTTGTAGAGGTTTCAGCTCATAGTTGACTGGTTCCAAGGCAGGGTGGTGTGGCATTGAAGAAATAGTTCACGGGAGACAGGAGGGAGCAAAGCTGCAAGAAGCAAAGTAGTGAAGCAGTAAGTGGCAACAGCAGTCCTTTTTCTGTCCCTTGTAGTCTATCCACGCCACATGCTCTTAGGACAAGTAACCTTCCCATTATGCTCAATCAGAACTATGCCAAACCAATCAGTGGACTGATTTAGTAATGACTCATCTTAGATCCCAACATCACACACTCTAGATCTAGCCACCTCTGAAAAGCCCCTCCTGTGACCACACTATCTTTTGAAGAGACATCTAGACACAAACAATTTTGATATATGTATATGTCACACATATCCACCATTATACTACCATACAGAATAATTTTACTGTCCTAAAAATAGCCTATTTCTACCTATTCATCCTTCCTCTGAACCCCTGGCAGCTACTGATCTTTTATTGTCTCTAGAGTATTGCCTTTTGTGTGTTACATAGTTGGAATTAAATAGTATGTGGCCTTTTCAGATTGGATTCTTTTAGTTAGTAGTATACATTTAAGGTTCTTTTTGTGACTTGATAACTCATATGTTTTTATTGCTGAATAATATTCTATTATATGTATCTGTCACAATTTGTTCACTATTGAAGGACATTTTGGATTCTTTCAGATTTCTGTAGTTATTAATAAAGCTTCTATAAACATCTGTGTGCAGGTTTTTGTGTGGAGAAAAGTTTTGAAATCATACAGTTGCTAGCTCATGTGATAAGAGTACATTTAACTTTGTGAGAGACTGCCAAAGATTGTTCCCAAGTGGCTGTACTGTGTTTATTCCTACAAACAGTAAATGAGAGTGAAAAATTACATGAGCATTTGGGGCAAGCAATGCTGTGGGGCTTTACCTTTTTTTGTTTTGGTGTTAAGGATTGAATTCTGAGCCTTGTGTGTAATAGTCAGGCATACTATCACTGAGTTAAATACTTAGCCTGGAGTTTTGCTATTCTGATTGAGGTATAAAGGATATATGGATATATATACACACACATATATATGTATATATACATCTTTATATAAAAAAGATATATAAAATATATATGCATTTTTTTTTCATGTTATTGTTGAACTTGGAAGCCTTCTATGAATGATTTTTAAGTTCGTTGTATTTCTCTATGGACTGGCAGTTTGGTGGCTTTCATTAATTTTATCCAGCATCTTGTATATCAGAGGGAGGACAGCAAAGAGATTTAACACTTTGGGCTTTGGAAAGCCCTAGGTTTAAGTCCTACTTGAATTAGATACCAGCTGTCAGACCCTGGGCATATTAATCTGGCTCAACCTCAGTTTTTTCATTTGTAACCTGCTGATGATAACTTTGTTTCCCAAGGGTTGGGAATCATAGTTTCTCATGCTTGATTGTAATGCTATGGCACTTTGCTGGCCAACTTTTACTCTGCTAGACTGCTGAATAAATGGCAAGGAAAAGATACTCTAAACCTTTTATAGCCAACCAGAAAGGAAATTATTCATTGGCTCTAACTTAATTTTGTAAAAGGTATAAAGTCTCTGTGGATGTTTTATTATTATTTTATATGCTGATGTCTAGTTGTTTCACCACGATTTCTATTTTTCTTTTTCCAAATCCATTTTGTTTAAGGATAAAAAGGAAGAAACAAAAAAAGAAAAAGCTACAACAAAATTTCAAAACACATCAATCAGGGGGCAGCAATGGCATATACATTGTACACTGTCATCCTCAAATCATTCTCCCAGAGCACAAGACATCTGTATTTAATTATCTAAACAATACAGCACAAATCTTTCTCTTAAGCAGACTCAGAGAAATCAGTAGTATAACTGTCTTAACTATTTTTATATACATATGCATACACATATACATGTTTTTCTTTCAGCTTCACACACTAATGTTTATATGTGTGTCATATTTATTTCACTAATGAGTATGTTCTCAGGTTGCATCCATTTACCTATAAAAGTGTCCAGTTTGTCTTTCTTTATAACCAAGTAGTACTCCATTGTATAAAAATACCACATCTTTTTTTATCTGTTCCTCAGTTGTGGGCATTTAGGGCATTCTAAGATCGGGCTACTATCAACTGACAGCACCATTTCTAGAAGAGACTGTCCTTTCTTCATTGAATTGCCATGCTCCTTTGTGAAAGATCAGTTGATTATACTTTCCTACTGTATTTTTTCTTGTTTCTGCATTCTGTTCTATTGATCTGTTTATATATTCTCTGGCAGCACTACCCTGTCTTGATTACTGTAGCTTCGAGCATGTCTTGAAGTCAGGTACTACCATTCTTTACTTTCGTTCTTCAGTATTATAGTGTTGGATATTCTGGACCTTTTGCCTTTCTGTGTAAACTTTACACATTCAAATATCCAGTGCATATAAAGTTATACTGTATTATGGTTTCATTTTGCTTTTCCCCATTGACTTTTGATATATTTCTCATCATGTACTCATTTTTCATGTGGAAAAATTTCTGTTCAAATATGTTGCTCATTGAAAACAAGTGAATTTTAAAGCCAGGCGTGGCACAAGCCTAGAATCCCAGCACTCAAGGGGACTACCATGAGTTCAAGACCAGCCTCAACTATATAGTGAGACCTTATCTCAAAAAAAAATTTTTTTTGTACCATCAGGGATTGAACATCTCATTATCTGAGCTGCATTACCAGCCTTTTTTGTCCCGCTTTTTTATTTTGAGATGTGGCATCACTGAGTTGTATAGGCTGAGTTTGAATTGTGATCATCCTGCCTCTGCCTCCTAAAGTGATAGCATTACAGGTGTGCACTGTTATCCCCTCCTGAAAAAATAGTAACAAACTATATTGTTGTACCCATTTTACACCCCCCTCCACTTTTGAGAAGGGATGTTGCTGTGAAGTTCAGACTGGCCTTGAACTTACATCAGTCCTCCTGCCTTAGCCTCCTACCATATCCAGCTTTAACTTTTTTTTTTTTTTTTTACAATGTTGGGAATTGAACTCAGGGCTTCACTTATGTTAGATAAACACTCTACCACTAAGATATATTCCCCAGCCCTTCTCTCCCCTCACCCGCTTTGCTTTTCTTTGCTTTTCTGAGATAGTGTCTTGCTATGTAGACCAGGTTGGCCTTAAATTCAGTGATCTTCCTGTCTTAGCTGTCTGAGAGCTACCTTTACAGGGATGCACTGTCATACTGCTTCATTATATTTTGTTTACTTTTTGTTTACGGAAGAAAGGTTTATTTCAGCTCATAGCAACTTTATTTTTAAATGTACATTTTGTACTGGTTGTGATGGTACACCCTTGTACTTTTACCACTCTGGGAAACTAAGGCAGCAGAATCGCATGATGTAATTGCCATGGCATCATTCATAGAGAACATTCTGATTTTCTGACTGGAATTCCTTACTTAGGAGAGAGACTGGGATTTCCTGGGCCAGCTGTGTCATGCAGGTGTCTAGAAGAAAATCATTGACTGGGTGTCTCTGGACTCTTTGCAGAGGAGGAAGCTTGATGCTGTATATTATTATATGCGCAGTTTAGCTGCCAGCAACCCTATCCTGACTGCCAAGGAGAGTCTAATGAGCTTGTTTGAAGAGACCAAACGAAAGGTGAGTGGGGTGCAGGCAGAATTATTCCGGTCTAGAATACTTTTCCCTTTGCGCATCATTGTCTTCACAAGAATGACTAATGCCCTCAGGGGAATGACTAATATCTTCATGTGATCCCAGCCAGCTGTGCTGATATGGTCCTTGTGCAGAACAAAGCTGATCTTTAGTAGAATTTTCAGTGGCCCTAAGGGGAACATGTTCCATAGCACCTAGATCACAGAATTAATAATTTCTGTCAAAGTGGGTGATTCTTTGATACTTTGTTACTGTAGCAAAATCTTCAGTTTTTTTAAATTGACCTTAGTTAAAAAAGATTAGGTATGAGGGCCCTTGGATTATTAGCTGAATCTCAGGAGATTCTGAGCTAGTGTGTCTATATGGTATACAGGCAGAACAAATGGAAAAGAAACAACATGAGGAGTTTGAACTAAACCCTGACCAGTGGCGAAAAGGAAAGAAATCTACCTTCCGGCATGTTGGAGATGACACCACTCGTTTAGAGATCTGGATCCGTCCATCCCATCCCCGATTTTCCCTGGGAACTGAGTCTGGGAAGAATTCTGAGCAGGAGAATGGGCTGGGCACCCTGAGCCCCAGTGACGTAAGTTCCTGAGAATGAAGCAGTAAACTGAGCTTGTCCTGTAAGCCTGCGTGGCCTGGTTCATGCAGCTGTGAGGCATTCTATAGATGCTTTCTACTCAACTTTTGAGACACTGCTGGCCTCCTACCCGTAGTCCTTTATTTTTATTGTGTACTTCCTTCTGTTTCCACTATGTGGCACTGTAGAATTTAGTAAATGCTTTCAGTTGCACATCACCAATATGATACATTAGGATTTTCCAGGATTATGTACTTAACTTTTTCACTTTTGGGTAACTTTCTGTATACCAGTTTATTTGTTTGTGTATTTTTGGACCTCATACGTATTTTTTTTGGTACTGGGAATCAAACAGATGACCTCGTGCTTGCATTGGCAGATGCTGTGCTGCTGAGCTATGTCTGCAGCCCTGATCTTATATGCTGTTTAGAGAATGGACTAAAACATCATGGGAAAGTTAGTTAGTCTGGTTTCTGAATAGCCTTTTATAAGATACCTCGTTAGGACTGGGAGTTTTTCCTTGAAGCCAGGAGAAGTAACTGTAGATCACAGGCTTACTATAGAAGGTTTCTTCTCTTCATTTGCTCAGATAATTATTGAACACTGTATCTAGCTCTCTCCTTGCTCTCAAGGCAGGTGTTCTAGTAGAAAACACAGAAGGCGAGTATGCAGTTAGAGTACAGTGTAGTTTGTTTTGGGGAATGTAGCCAATTTTAAGAGACCAAATCAACCACTGGTCAGTTGAAGTATAAAGAATGAGTAAGAGTTACCTAGAAGAGAAGAGACAGAAGCATGGTAAAGATCTCAGGCAAAAGACATACCATGTGCAAAGACCTGAGGCTAGAGAGAGAGCACACAGGAGTTGGAAATTTGTAGTTTGTAATTCATTGTGCCTTATATCGCGCTTATGCCACTGAGCTAAATCCCCAGCCCCATATCTAATCCAAGTGAGATATAAAAAGAACTTGAACCAAGAAATGGCTTTAGAGATAGAGAGAATGAACAGTTTATAAGATATATTAATAAGGTATAATCAAAAGAACTTGATTGGAAATCAAAAGCTCAAGGACAAGAGGGGATCAAGAATGATACAAATGTTTCTGACTTGGGAACTGGTATATTCCACTTCCTGAACTAGGGAATAAAGGTGGAACTGGTTTTAGGAGAAAGATGCTGAGTTTAATTTTAGATTGTTTTGATGAGTTTAACTTTAGACCCATTGAATTGATTATTCTTGTGTTATACTGAAGCAGATGTAAGTCAGAGGCTAACAAGTGTCTGAAGCTAAGGAGAGTACTTTAGATCAGAGTTGAAGATTTTTGTAGATATCTTCTTATAGATGGTAATGAAGCTATGAGAGCTGATTAGATTGATATAAAAACATACAGTGATGAAGTAAAAGATGTGAGAAAGAAGACCCAAGCACAGAGTGGGAAAAGAGTAAGTTCTAGACAAGTAAAGGTATTAGCCTGATAGAGGGCAAGAGATCCCTTTTTAAGCCTGAGGGAAAGTATAATCCTGAGATATAGCTGGGGCCACAGGTAAATTTAGGTATTATAGGAGAAAGAAAAGAATAGACTTTTTTGTTTTTTATTTTTTTCTTTAAATTTGGAGGCTGGAAAGCAGTAATTATGGTAAATGAAACTACCAATTTTCTACCTACCACGGTGTATATAGCAAGGCCTGTTTGTATGTATTATAACGTATCTCAAGATATATCAGGTTGTTGCTCTGATAGAATCCCTCATTGCCGCCCTTTGCTAGTTTGACTGTTATAGGAAGACCATTTAATTGAGAGATAAATTGTCTTGTTGGATTAGGTATATACTTCAACTGTTTTCAAAATGGAAGCACCAAAAGAACAATTTAAGAGCGTATTTTGTGATTTTCTGTTGTCCTCAAGGTTGGCGAATATCCCTCATAGAGGATGATAACTAGTCCTTCATAGAGCTCTCTCTTCCATTAGGTATGTTTAGGGATGTGTGTGTGTATGTATTATAGTACTAGAAATTTAACCCAGGGCCTTTGCTCTGAGCTACATCTTTAGCCTTTTTAAAGTTTTTATTTTTAATATTTATTTATTTATTTTTGGTCTTTTTGAGACAGGGTCTCTCTATGTAATTGAGGCTGGCCTTGAGTTCACTTTGTAGCCTAGGCTGGTTTTGAACTCAAAATGATCCTCCTGCTTCAGCCTCCCAATGCTGGGATTACAGGCATGAGCCACCACGCTCAGCCTTTATTTTTATTTTTAGAGACTAGGTCTCACTAAGTTGCTAAGTTGCCCAGACTGGGCTGGAAGTTGGGATCCTTCTGCTTCACCATCCCAGAAATCTGCTCCACCACACCCAGCTTATTTATTTATTTTTAAATAAGTGTATATTAGGGCTGGGGATGTAGTTTAGGGGTTTCAGCACTTGCCTTACATGTACAAGGCCCTGAATTCAATCTCTAGCACTACAAAAATAAGGTAAAGAAAAAAATAATATGCTTATTATGTATCTGATTTTCTTTTTCTCTCTCTCTCTTTTTTTTTTTTTTTTTTTTGAGACAGTATCTTGCCATGCAGTATAGGCTGCCCTTGAACTCACTATGTAACCCAGGCTGTCCTTGAACTACAGCGATCCTCCTGCCTCAGCTTCCTGAGTGCTGGGATTACAGGTGCACCCCCACATCCAGCTTTTTTGAAATGGGATCTTATAAATTTTCTAAGTTGCCCATGCTAGGTTTGGACTGCAGTCTTCCTGTCTTAGCCTCTCAAAACGATGGAATTATATGTGCGAGCCACACAAAAGGCCAGGAAAGGCATTTTCAGTATGTGAACTATTATTGAGCCCATTAGTTTAATTAATTGTTTTGATTATTCAAATAACATGTTAATATATTCCTAGTAAAAAATTCAAAGTAATTGCAACATATATTGAGTCAGATATACCAGTTTATATTCTAAACTATTTGTGAAACTGTTTATATATTTTTAAGCATATATATCAGCCTGGGAGAACTGTTTTGCTTTATGTCTTTTAAATTTGCATCTACAAAGTAGAGTTTTTATTTGTAGACTGCCAGTACTTGAGCAAGAAGTTCGCAGTTTTATACCCTTTCTTTTATCCGATAATGAAACCACATTGCCATTCTTACTTGCTTTCTCAGGCCCCAGTTAGCTTCTGTGTTTTTCTCTTTCTTGCAATAGATCCTAACTACTCAGCTTTTTTTTTTTTTTCCTCCTGGTCCTGGGCATTGAAATCAGTGCCTTCATATTGAGCTATCTCCCCAATGACTTTTAAAATTTTTTTCTTTTGAGACAGTGTTGCTAAATTGCAAGCTGGACTTGAACTTGTAGACCTTTTGCCTCAGCCTCCCAGGGTGCTGGAATTCTAAGCATGTGCCACTGTGCCCAGCTAGCTTATTTTTTTTTTTTTTTTCTGTTCTAAAAACACATGGCTTGATGCGAGGTAGGCATCAAAGGTACAAAGATCATGTGGAGAAAACAGAAACAAACAAATGAAGTCATGTGCCATATAGCATTTCGGTCAGTGACAGCACATACATGTGGCCCCACATGATTGTGTTACGTACTTGCGTTGACACTTTGTTTGCAGTTAAGTATACTCTGATGTTAGCATAATAAAAATTGCCTACTGATGGACTTCATGGAATACATGTCTATAAGTAAGCAGTGCATGACTGTATATGATTACAGTGCAGTGTGGCAAATGCTATGACAGAGAGAAACACAAGAGGTTAAGAGAGCAGGCAGAGGACCTGATGTAGCATCCTCAGGGAAGGCTGGGTAAGATAGTATTTTGCAACTGAAATATTAAGGGCATTTCTGCACTAAGGGAAGCAAGCTTAAAAGAAACATAAAGGCTTAGAAAACTGTAAGTAGTTTAGTGTGGCTGGAGACTAAGATGTGAGATGTGCTGGGGATTTAGCACAGCGGCATAAGCGCCTGCCTAGCAAGTGCAAGGTCGTGAGTTCAATTCCTTCTACCACAAAAAAAAAAAGTGAGATGTGCTCTTGCTAGAGAATTGAGTTATCCTTTACCTTGTTCTTTCCTGTGTTTCCACATTGAGTTGATATTCAGTGCTATTGAATCTACCTTTTTATTTTTTAAATTTATTTTATTTTTTCAGGTTTTGTTTTGTTTTGAGACAGGGTCTTGCCATGTAGTTCAGGTAGACTTTAAACTCACTATGTAGCCCAGGCTGGCGCCTCAAACTCATGGCAGTCCTCCCACATGCTGGGATTATAGGTGTATACCACTATGCCCAGTGGAATCTACCTTTTAAACATAAACTGAAGCCATCCCCTTCTTTCCATTCATCTTTTTCTCATTGCCCTTTGATAGTCCAAACTACTATTTTAATAAACTATGTTCCCTTGAAACAAGTTCCTCATGATCTTTCAACATTTCTTTCTTGTCTTCTTCAGATCTTTCATTTTAGAAGTAACCCAAATGAGCTTCAAAATACACATTTCTGATTATAGCACTTTACTTTTAAAAGTTTTTAGTTTCTGTTTGCTTTTGGAATCAGATCCAAATCCTTTATATAGTCTACTGGGCCTCACTTGATCTGGTCAGTGCTGCTTCTAATCTTAACACCTCTCTTTCCACTGACCTCTTCTCTAGCCCCTGGCTGTTGTATATTCTCTATCCATAGTCCCCTTCTTTTTACCAGTTCTGCCTTTCTCAGTTTCATTCTTGTTTGTCTTTCAGGTTTCAGCCTAAATTTCTTTTTTTCAGAAATGATTTTCCTGATCCCCAAGGCTGGCTATTTCTCCTATGTAATACCACATTTCTATTTCTAGTTAGGTGATGTTAGTGTAATTTCATTGCTGTTTAAGGTCTTTCCCGTGCTAGATTGAAGCCTCTGAGAGAGTAGGGTCACATTTACTCTGATCTCTGTTTTGTTCCTGATGCCTCTGTATAGTAAGTTCTAAATAAATCTCAGTTGAGTATACAAATGGGGGAAAACAATGAGGTAATAAGGGCCAGATCCTTC